GAGTATGTGTTTGCTGACTGTGCTTTTTAGGCTATCAAGATCTTTTGTGAGATGCAGGGGAGATTGGAGGAGTTGATGGTTTGATGGGAGAGAAGTTTTGCACCAGACTTTTCCCGGAAGGTGGGTGGGGTGGGGGGGAGAAGGGGGAAACGTGCTACATTTGGGTACTGAGATATATGGACAATTGAAATTTGGGGGTTTAAAAGATAGAGATATGGCGAGTGATGTGAGTATGTTATAAGTTGTGGACAAGATTTAGGAAATATCTTGCTGTTGACTATTAAAAAAGTGAAGAAAGAAGAGGGTTCTAGAGAAATGGAAGCTTATGCATGATCCAGCCGCGCAAGCGAGCGCCAAGCTACACGTAGTTTGCCCTAGTTCCTCCAACCTCATAATGGGCAGTTCCACAGTCTCTAGCTTATACCTGGGGTAGTTGTATACCTTATGCGGTTCATCAGCTGTGCGTGTCGTTACAGGTGCCATGCTAGCAATCAAGTAGTATGTATTGAGACTAAAGAATTATACTTACACTCTAGAGACTAGAGGTGTCATAGACAGCTCGTTGACACTGTTGACAAGTCACTGGAAACCTTTCTTTTCCTGGATGGAACCTACTCTCTGGAACTACGGCTGGGGCTGGTGTATTCTACTTAATACCTTCGCGCAGAATAAAGCAATAAGAGTAATAGCTAAAAGCCCAATTGTCACTAGCGTATACACCCAAGCTTGAACCACCGAGTTGTGACGAACGTTGAGGCTAGCTTCTGTTAACGACGTATTCACAAATCCAGTGCTAAATAACGTCTACCTGTGTTAGTATCCAAAAAATAGCGTTTGTCAACAACCACTTACCGCGACAAAGGTTCCTGGCAGGTATAAGACTGTGATTATGGCAACGCGTCTCATTATACTTAAGTCCTTCTTCGTTGTCTTGTTGATGTCAAGCATGACTTAGCCGTCCTGCTTAGATGCTTCAACTAGCCGATTGATGCTTGTAACATTGAAGATGAGCGCTTGGCTTTCTCTTGAATTAACCAAACCCTTCATCTTAAAGAGATAATTAGTGACTGTGAAGTAATTGTACATCTGCCCTAAACACTACTTACAAGACTTGATGCCTGTTTCGCACGATCTAGCATATCCACGGCCCATTGTTGACTCATAGTAAACGACGAGAGGCAAACCTCAAGTCTCTGATCTGAGGAGACAGGCCATTGTGGATTTCGTATGTTCGTGATTGTCTTGATCTTTGTCTCAAGTAACTGAAGGCCGACTAATATTTCAATATTTGACCGAAGCGACAAGATGGCCTTGTGAATCAGCTCACACTTGTGTTGCAGGCTTTGGATACTCGAACACGTTATTTCGAGGCCCTGGATATTTCCGTGAAGCTCGTTGTAGGTAGCCAGACGAGCTTGGCGGTTCCATAGAAAGGCAAGGATTATTAGAAGCAAAGGAGCAATTGGATTCTTCATATGAACCTACATCCTCTTGAATCTGCGCCTCAAGGTATTTGAGGTAGGCTTTCCATGATCTCAACGTCGACTCCAAGAGGTGAATGTGGGAGATGACAGGTGTACAGCTTGAGACCAACTCGGGCAACTTTCGTGCAAAGGTTGTAGGCTGTACAATAATCCAGGTTGAGCTCAATGTTGAATGGTCATACTTTTAACAAACACCCATCTTCCGCTCAGACCACGGCCAGGTGTCTCTTCCAGTCCGTGCAATGTATTTGATATTGTAGAAGAAATCTGCGACGAATTAGCTTAAGTAATAGCAAGGCCTACGTTTCTACTTACCAAAGTTTAGCCCATTGTTCGTGTCAAACCAATAATCATAGCCTCCAGAGAAGTCGGTTTCGTAGCCTTGATGAGGGTGGCCGAAAGCATGAATGAAGTTCAGAAAAGACGGTCGTACCTTGACGGCAGTGAAGATTTTGCGGAAAGCACTTTCAGAGTTCTCGAAAGGCGCCCAGCTACGGGCTTGGTACAGGAATCTAGAGGAGACAAGTGGATGAAATTAACAGGTGTAATGTAAAGAAAATAAGGTGAAATGGGGACTCCGGGTGTAAGGAAGGAAAGAGTATTGTTGACTAGTACACTTTAAAGTGGTATAATATAACAAAATGCACTCCCAACAGCTTGACGATTGACTTATACAGTACCTACATGACACGTGAACCACGGGCTGTCAAGTGTTTCTTCAAATGGTGTTAGAAAATGCCAACATTTGGGCACATAGATACTCCTTACGATCAAAGTTTCTTCCAGTCGTTCTTCGTTTTTGATAGAATCCGTTATTAGATCTAGTGGCTGTTTTTTTAGGCCGTTCTCGGGTCCAGTATGAAGGAGAACTGTTTCAAAATTCACATGCATTGCTTCGGGATTAGAATTGAAGAGTCTTTTCGCATCTTTCTGCAATCTCCGGTGGCACAGTTCCAGATTCTCGTAAGGAATAATTAGTGTGGAGAGATTTGTGGGATAGTTCTCCCAACCGCGAGTGAACTCAGACGCTTCTGGTTGATGTGACGACATTGGGATGAGAAAACGGTAAAATGATTACAGGATAAAAGGGCGGTCAAAGTGATGTTTATTTTCTCAGGGAAATCTTTCCGCCCAGTATTTCTGATCGCCCCCGAATCGCCTTGCAGGAAGGCGGTAGAAAAAGCCACAGCTGTTAGGCAGCATCCGCCCCAGCCTCCATCTTCTCGAGCGTCTCTTTGTCGTAATAAGTAGACTTGATTTCCCCCTATGATTAATTGTGGCGGTCAATTGAGTTTATGAATCAATTGATCTAAATAACACTTACATCAGTCATCTTACGGGGAACTGTCACCACGTATGATTCATCATCCAGCTGCTAATAGATTGTGAGTAGATGTCATTGTGAATTGTGGTTTTGGTCCTCACCTCCAATTTGCATGGCTTTCCCTTAAAATCTGGATGGCTTCGCCAGAAATTGGCCAACTTTTGCTTGTCGATGTAGCGTCGTGGAAGTGGCTGTTGCACAGTCATTGTTGCAGACTCTAGTGAATAATTCTATTAAAGGGAAAAATGTGCATTTAAGGATTTATAACTTGGTTGGGCATTGCTGTCAGGCATCAATGGGGGGGCATGTGGAAAGATCCTATATTAACGTGCGAGTTCTCGCTACACAGCATATGCACTGCCATGCGACACCTGCAGCCGAGCATTCTGTCCTATACCATATATTGATAGTGCACCTCCAGAACACTCACGTACTAATAATTACATCACAGGTTGATTATCAAAAGAGGCTGTATCGTTCAACATGCCTACTCGCAAGATATCCCGGGCATCCAGACGACCAGCAGCAGCTGGGCCACAGCAAGCTGGAAGTACTTCAGAATCTGCCAGCCCCATCGACTTCCTCGCTATATTGAAAGAGAATGGTGTATCTTTGCTACCAATATCTTCCTACAAAAGTCTGGGAATTCTGGGGAGAGGCCTTTCTGGCGTTATCCAACAGTCAATTGCCGATGTGGCTACCTTTTTAGCCTTCAAAGAGGGTATACCCTCCAAGCTTCGGCAGGATACGAACAAGGACCACGATTGGCGCTCTCTCATAACTCAGATCCGCATTCTTCAGCACCCGCTTATACGAGCGAGCTCTCACATCATTGACCTCTTAGGGGTTGCGCTTTATGTCAATCCTACCACTAGTAGAGACCGGCGAGCTCTGCCTCTTCTCGTCACATCTAAAGTTAATCGTGGAGACCTCAGTGTTATCCTGCACAATGAGCAAGAAGACATGCTAACAGAGAATGGACGAATGAGACTCCTTGCGATGGTGGCCGAATCAGTTCAAATCTTACATGCATGTGGTAAGCTCAACTTGATGTGGGAATAAAGAACACCACTGGTAGTATACAGGCATAACCCACGGAGATATCAAGCCGGATAACTTTTTGATAAACGAAGCAGAAAGGGGCCAAGTCAAATGCTTCTTGACAGACTTTGGTTCCAGTTCTATCCGGGGCCAAAAGCGGTTCCCCACAATGAGCGAGCCATGGAATGCACCAGAATTAGAAAATGCACATCAAGTCCTCAGGTTTGACGAACTTGTTCAAACTGACATATTCTCGTTTGGTCTTGTTTGTATCCACCTCCTGCTGCCACTAGAAGAACCGAAAAGCGCAAGCCTCTGTCTGCTTCGAAGTCCGGGCTGGCAGGATAATGAGTGGAAGCAGTTTATTAATAAAGTGAAAGGAATTAAGAGAGGCGATTCTGGGGATAGCCTAGCCTCGCTACTTCTGAATATAACCGAGAAGAGTAAGCAATCGACTGATGCAAAAGAACTTCTTCAGACGCTAGTCAAGACCACAATTTCGCCCCAGCCAGGGAAAAGGTCCATACCGTGGGCCCATATTAAACAGTATTTATCTCGCAGGTCAGACACTCGATTCTAACCGGAAATGGTTCGAGCTAATCCTGACAACTCTTTAATTTATAGTTTCAATATCAAGACGAATGGTCCAGCAAATCCACCACCACTAGCATACCGCTCGCCAGCTCTGAATCATTCCGAACACTGTGTATTCGATGTAAGAGAGAGATTAGACTAAGACCTGCGATTTGCTGACTGTGAGAAGTTTGCCAATACTCTTACAGAGCTCGACGATACCGACTACGTTCTTCGGGCCAACATTACCCAAGATCTGGTCAACAAAGCAATCAGATCTTTCTGCACCAATTGCAAGCTGGTTCATGCTTTCAATCTTGCAGTTTGTCACACGATTGGCTTTGGGTGCTGCCAAAACAGAGAAGTAGCGCAACAATGGCTAGAAACGAGTCGCAGAACCCCAGAGCACCTCGCTTCAGATATCGAACGGATTGGTTCAGCTTACGAGGTCACGCGCGGCGTCGATCAGAACGTGCTCAATACAATCGGTATCGGGTTTCTTGTAAGTGCGAATAGAACGGAAGAATATCAGACATCTGGCCGGTTGCCCGAGGCATGCCAGTCTTTGAAGGACGAGATCCAGGCAAGAGAGGGGTCATTCGGAGCTTATCACTGCTCTCTGGCAAGATTGAATTCGGAATTAGCACTTGTTTTGAAGGCTCAGAATCACCCTGGAGAAGCACAAAAATACCAACAAGAGGCAGTAGATATTCTGGTCCGAAATGTTGGAGAGCGCCATCCATCGTGTTTGCTCGCGAATATCGAGCTTGCCGGTATATTTGCAGACCGAGGTTGGCTTCGAAGGGCTGTAGATCTTCAGAAAAAAGTACAAGCCGCCCTCAACGAGGGCCTTGGAACAGATCACCCGGAAACTATAACGGCACTGCAGAGATTAGGCACCTCGCTGACCTGGATGGGGGAGCTCAGAGAGGCCGAAGAGGCATTCGGAAAAGTGGTTTCGGTCAGAAACAAGATACTCTCACCGACACATCCCTTGACTGTGCGCGCGGAGTTGAGCCTTGCATATTCGTTAGGAGCTCAAGGGCTACTTAGCAAAGCTTCGGATCTAATGGAAACTATTGATGGAAAGCTCAGTAATCTGCTTGCGGGCGATGACTTTACCAGGGCACTTCTCTGTCATTCCAAAGCTATTCTGTATAACGAGCTCAATTCTAAAGATGGGGCAACTAGAGAAATTATCGAGGCATTGTCCGCACTGGACAAGTTGAAGCTCCCCGCGGATGATATCCTGAGATTGACGGTTCTCGAGACGAAGGCTATGATTCATGGAGCATGTCAGCAGTGGAACGAGGAAGAAACTGTTCTTCGCGGTATTTTGGATGCACAAAATTATCTGGACCAAAATAATCGAGGACTGTCAGCGGTCAAATACCGCCTGGCCCAGAATCTTCTATCGCAAACCCGATTGGACGAAGCCTCGACTGTTGCACATGAGGTTATAGACGCCTCAGGAGGCGATGTCGCAATAGACCCTATCTATTTTATGGCCTGTGTTGATATCTCAGCAACAGTCCTATCATTCCAGGGTCTATTGGAGGAAGCGCAGAAGGAAAGGCAAAACCTTCTTGTGTCTTGCAAGGCAAAATTTGGCGAAGATAATCCTCTTACCCTTGATGATATGCATGCACTTGCATCGTTTTTTGCCGAAAAAGGCGAGTACGATAAAGCCCAACACCACTACCAGCAAGCTCTTGAGTTTCTTCGAAAAGTCGATCAGCCAGGGAAGGATGCCGTCAGAATTGGAAGATCCCTTGCGCTTGCATACTGTGAGCAGACTGAATACGAGGATGCGAGAAAGCAATGCGAGGAAGCTATCGTATGGGCCACAAATGCCGTTGGAGAAAAGCACGTGGAAACTTTAACACTCTATAATGTCCTCCTAAGGACTTACACACAGATGGGTAGCTACTCAGAGGCAGAAGATCTGTACCTCACAAGGCTTAAGGAGAATTGTCAAGGCACCAAGGTGGAAATATACGTCAAGCAAAATATGGTGATACTACAAAGAAAACAAGAACGATGGGAAGAGGCTGCGGAATTTATTGCCGATGTTCACAGATTGGCGAAACTGACGTATGGCAAGCTGCATCCTGATCTCTTGAAGGTGGAGGGAGAGATATTAAGCGACAATCTTGATCGTGCTGAGACAATCACAAATGAGCTTGAGAATGCCGTCTTGAGTAACATTCGTCTTAAAAAGGAGATCCTGGGAACGAGAAGCCACTCGACAATCATAACGATGGTCGATCTAGCTTATGCTTATGCAGGAAATGGGCTTTTTGGGGATTCCGAGAAGATGCTGAAGGAGATTTTGGATATTGGTGATCTAGAGACATTGCTGACCCCGGGGTGGTATGCATGGTTATTGGGCAAACTAGGGAAGATCTATTTTCGGATGAATCGACTTCAAGACGCAGAAAATGCCGAGCGCAAAAGTCTTGCAATCCGTCAACGCAACTTTAGTGATTGCCATCGCGATGTATTACTGAGCATGTCAAACCTAGCAGCCACTCTCAAGGCACAGAATAAGTACAGCGAGGCGGAGGGGTATCTTCGAAGAGTTATCAAAGCCTGCGAAGGCATGCAAATGGACAACGCGAGATGGAGTTTCAAACTTTTGAAGTCGCGAATTGGTCTGGCAGCTGTCCTTTTTTTCCAGAATAAGTTACCAGAATCAGTGGTAATCTACTTGGACACCATCGAATATGCTGAGCATTGTGGCTATCCTAGTGACATTGTCAACGTATGGAAAGAAGACTTGCAGCACGTTTTCCAGGAAATGAAGAATCAGGAGGCAGTAGCATAGAAGGTAGATATACTAAATACAATCTCTTTAATGTACCTGTTATAGCTATGAAGCTGAAATATTGAGACTTATTTTTATATTTTTACGAAAGAGAAATTTCTGTGTTGAATAACTTATCTTCAATGAAGAGAGAAAACAAACGTCCTCGATATGCCGTTGCACTCGACGCACCTTTTGATAGTAGTAGTGCCACTTAAGCGAAACATCGAGAAAGGGGCTCGACTACCTTAACCTTAAACAAGTCCCGTGCGAATCCACTGCGCTCCGTATGCGCGCCTTCTTGTGCAGATTGTAGTTCGGCTTCTGCATCGAGGCAAAAACGAACAGCTTCCCTATATAATGCACCCATTTTCTCGCCGAGTTGAGGAACATAGGATATGAGTAACTTGTTTCGGAACTCTTCAGCAGAGTGTATGTCGGAATGATCATCCTTCAAAAGAGAGATAGGTCGCCATAATCCCAACTCCAGAAGTACAATCCCCAGCCCAAAATAATCGAAAGAAAGTCTGAACGGGGTTCCTTGACGATATAGAGGCTGCTGATAGTGTGGAAACTCCTGTTTAGGGCCAAGGGTATAACCCGATGCTTCTTCTCTGCCATCGTTGAATCCTGCCAAAACAGCAGAAGCGATATGCTGATAGACTTCTTCTGTTGACGGCGAAAATACAATTACATGATGCGATGAGATATTCCTGTGGAACCAGCCCGCATCATGAAGTACGAGTAGACATGAAGACAGGTCCTTAGCCAACAGAAAGATTTCCCCAAGATCGGGACGGACAGTGTCAGTCACATCGGGATCAGTCAATCTAATGATATTATTCATTGAGTAGAGCCGATGATTGCTCGTTGCATTGCAGGCATTGAGACGGTCCAGGGGGTATAAAGCCGAACCGAAAATTGCGTGGCTCATGAAAGTAGCCCAGGCAGTCAAGAAGTCGTTCCTTTGCCGCACCTTTCCTAGGAGTTATTTCGGGATCCAAAAGATTTACCAATGCATCCATTGCCCACGCAATTTATCTCCAGGGCCATCCTGCCATCGGGTGTCATACTCTTTCCATTCAATCATGGCCCTCATCTTGCCCTTCCGTCTAGTATAATATCCCATAGCCCTTGACTTGTCCTCGATCAAAGAGACATTTTCGTTGTTGAGGAACGCGGTTGACGAGGTCTCATCAATATCCACGGATCCAGAATCAATTTACCGACTACGACCTCCTTCAGATATTGATTCCGAGATGATACAGGACATATATCTCATTGCGGCATTACTCCCAACTAATCGGTACCTCTCTGGCTTCGAGGCCCTGCAAATAGCTGCGAGGATGTCGATATCTTGGATGTCACAAACTGCGCGTGACCACAATTCGTACATTCTCATACGTGCTTCCTCCGCAAGTGTTGCCCACACTAAGTCGACAGTCTTCCATATGTCGTTCAGAGGCTCTCTGGTTTGCGGTGGGCAACCGCTAGAAGCCTGCGCGGCGACTCCATCAGATCGCAAAACAAGTTGGAGTTTTGTTAAGTTATCGAGTACGGCATTGATGTTTTTGAGTTTGTCATCTTGATGTAGACGGTCAAAAGCTAATTTCCACGCTTCGAACCTTTTTTGCTCAAGCAGGAGGATGATATTAAAATCTTCTTTTCGGCAATTTCTGTCATATGATATATCCTCGAAATGCGACACGACGGCTTCCACCTTGGACAGTAACGCTAACAGCGCAAGACTTGAAGTTACTGCCGAGATGGGTTTTCGTGTCCAAGGATTTGGATTCAGCATGACTCTAGCAAGTTCAACGAGTTCCCGCACTTGTTTATCTCCCGGACTTTGAATAAGATCGGCAAGCCAACGGTCGACAGATGGCTTGATCTTATTATCGAGATGGAAGGCATTATCAGTTCTTGAGAATACACCGCCATGAGTCTCTTTACGTGTGGCTCTAAATTCTTCAACGCTTCGTCGCTCAATGAAGGAGGCAACCTGTGCAAGGATGCAGCCAAAAGCCCATACGTCCATCGCTCGACCGACAGTACCATTAATCAAATCAACTTCATTGAAAGCCTCCGGGCCCAGGTAGTCATCGTGACCACCTCTCAAGCGCGACTTAGAGTCCTGGTCATCGGGCTTTAGTTTCGAAAGACCAAAGTCTGCAAGCATAAATATGCCATCATTCACGAGAATGTTTGCTGGCCTCAAGTCATGGTGGTATCCGATCTTGGTGACTTCGATATCCCCATCTTTCAGTGTGAAGTTGTGGACTTTGCTTAGTGCATCAGCTAGGCCGTACATTCCGCAATAGATCAAATGTGGATCGATAGAGGGGACTTCCGTTAATAGCTTTTTCAAATCCATGGACATCAAGGAGAATAGAAGGTTGTGCACGCCGTGGTGCATATATGAGCCGAGAAATTCCACGATGTTAGGATAGTGCAACGTCTGAAGTAAATCCAATATTGCACTCTCTTTGCTACCATCATCTCCATCACTTAGTTCCTTCCGAGCAATTTTAACATCCTATGCAAACATCAGATCGCTTTTTTAAACGAGCCTTTTCATATGCATACCTTTCTGGGCTCTGAGCTCTCTGTCACGAGCTTTTGACAAGTCGAATAAAGCTTTACTTTCCACACTTTACCAAAGCCACCTTTACCAACAATTTCCTCCTCCAAAAAAGGGAGTACCTCGGTTGACTGGACCTTTCAATGAATATCGCCCTTTCCAAAGATAACAGGATGGAACTCCCATTGTCGTTCAACAAATGTACGAGCTACCAGAAGCGGAAGGAAGTAGAGTCCTTGCTCGGTATACGGGATTCTGGAATCGGCTTCTCGACGAAAAAGGAGTTCCAAGATGTGCGTCGAGTGGCCATTGAGTAAGAGAATCGCGAAGGTCTTGACGTTTGTCTCTCGAACGATGGTTGCGTATCGAAATAGATCCCGCTCATTCCCACTGAGAACGGGGATTGACGACATACATGCTTTAATTTCGTTCGTGGTAAGAAGCTCCTCCACCTCAGACAGAGGGTAGAAAAACTTGTGCTCTCTAGCACAGCGAGATTCTTTCCGAAGACTAGACAGCCGTTGCTGTATTTCGTTCATGTTGCGAAACCCCGCTAGGCTGCCCTGAACATACAGTATGCTGGGGAGTAAGCTGCCGATCAAATTCAACTCCAGCTGAGGGATGTTTCGTGATGTCCAAGATAAACAAAACGTTTCCAGAAACCTTGGAGCTGATCAACTCACGTACGAAATCCCCTGCATCCTTGTATTCTACCTTAATGGCCACAAGGGGTTTTACGTGGTAGTGTAACAATTACTAGGCTGTAACTGTTCTAGGATCGTCCTACAGCAGAAGCATTATGTCTTGGCAAGCGTCACGAAAAGTAAAGCGTTCTTACCTATAATTATTTTGATAATTATAGGAATTAACAAATTTTATAGTTATCAGTCCTGTTCGGTCGTGTCTAATTGCTTAAGGAGAGAAGTTAGCTAGCTAGACTATAAACCCTTATACGCCAGTGCCAGTCACGTGAGTAAACAACGTAGAGGTTGCGACAATGAGTGTACTAACTAATTACTAGATTCATACCTTCATTAAGTATTCTAGGTGTTAGGTAAAAAGACTTCATAACTCCAACTCCCTCTGACCTTATGCTAGTAAAATCAGCACTCGTTTCACCGAGAAAATAAATCCCTATTCAGAGTACAAGAAACACGCAAAACTCCATCCTAATGAATGCAGTACAGTAAAAACCCCCAAGTAAAGAAAAAACGCATAACACAAACTCCATCCCGAGCGAGCCAAGGTACCGGAAAAGAGACAGAATAACACAAGAAAGAGAAAAGAAATATGGTGATGCAAGAAAATGGGTATCCGCTCGACAAAAGAAACAGAAAGAAAAATGAGGAAGGAGAGTAACGCGATAGCTTCAAAATCCCCAATCTCGATATTTGTCGAGCACTCCCATGAAGGAATATGTCTGTTCGATTCACGATGATGTCCATGCTTCTTACCAAGGATCTCCATAAAAACGGATATCAAAGGATGTCGTACCCGTGATGCAAGATTCTGGATAGAGACAGACATATTCTCAAGTAGAGAGGAAAATGCAAAGTGCATATCCGATATCATCCATCCATAAGAAACTCTGTTAAATCTCCTGCATCGTCAACCACCACGGAGCCCTTCCCTTACCAAAGACCAACGAAGTACGTTCACGCGGACAACTTCGAGCGCTTGGGTGAAGGAGGGGTATCATTGTCATCGTCGTCCTTCTTGCGCTTCTTGTTTGTTTCGCTTGGATTCGAAGGGTGATCTTGAGATGGTAGTACCTGGCTTGGAGTGGTAATTAGACTTGCGAGGAGATCGCTGGGGGGTTGTTGCGGGATAACGGAGGCTGCGACTGAGTCAGTGGTGGGAGGATATGAGTGGTTCAAGGTAGATGTTTGGTTCTCGCTTAGACTTGGGGTGTGGTGTTGAAGAGGAGTTGTCGGGATTTGAGGACCGGACGTAGGTGTCGGAGTGGTATTTGCGAGTTGAGGAGTGACGGGATCGTAGTCATCGGGTGTAGGATGGTGGATTTGAGGAGCGACGGGATCATAGACATCGAGTGTAGGATTGTGCACGTGGGTTTGAGGGGTAATCAGACTTGCCAGTAAGTCGCTTGCGGGTTGGGGAGCGGCGGGTGTATAAAAGCCTGGAAGAGCAGAGTCTGCGGCTGGTTGAGAAGTCGTGGGGGCTGAGTGACCAAAGGCAGGTGTTTGATTTTCCGACTCTAGCATTTCGAGGATTGTAGAGCCAAGCGCGTCTACAGTTTGAGGCTCGGATGAGCTGTCGAACTCGAGATTCTCGCTTGTTAGTGTTTATGCCATTCTGGGTTTGTTCTCCAAACTGGACATTGCCGGAGCTTGAGGTGCCTAACTTGGATGGTGGCTGGGAATTGAGTAGATTGAAGATTCTTGCAATATTCTCGGACGTGGAATCATTGCTTGAATTTTCAATTTGTGCTTCGGAAGACGCAGTGGTTATTTCCTGGGCTGTCTCTTGTTCCGCATCTTCGCGCTTGACTCGCTTGTGGAGGTCGAAGTCGTCTGGAACGGTATCACAAGCCTTCCGCTTATTGCCCGGTGACAATGTATTTAGTGGTGAGCTCGGCGGTGTATTAATCGGAGAATAAACCGGAGAAGGAGGTGGACTAATGGGCGGATGAAGAATACCTCCTCCTCCCATGGCCTGTGATGGGCTCTCTGGTGTAGTTGCATCATTTCGACGCTCGCTTTTCTCCACCAAGCTTTTCAAGAGCGAAAATGGATCCTCAGGTTACGGACTGCTCGGTGGTGGAGAGACCTTCGGCGAGGCTGGTGGAGTTTTGAATGTTCGAAGAGTCTCATCCAATGGTGTGGCATTTGACTTGATCTTCCCTTCTTTAATTCCCTTTAACAATAATCCGAGGTTCTCGACTGCTTCATTGTGCTCTTTTCCAAATACACTGCCTGTCGGTGGACCGCTTGTTGGAGAGTCTTCTGGAGGTGTTGAGTTGGGCGCAGAGCTTTCTGGTAATCCGGCTGGGTTATTACATAGCGAACCTGCTGCTTGGACGGATGGTGATGAGCGAACAGTCTCTTCCTTGATTCCATCCACCAAGTTTGCTGAATGGTTGCGTGCGGCAGAGTGTTCTCCTTCTGCTACACTGACTGTCGGTGGAGCGCTTCGTGGAGAGCCTTTTGGCGAGTTCAAATGAACAGGAGGTACCGGGAGTGTCTCAGCAGCCACTTTGAGCTTTTTGCTTGTTGATGGAGTCTGCTCTTGATATGTGGTCTTGCGCTTCTTGGTTACCTTCGACGTGCTTTGGTACATTTGCAAGGCTTCGTCAACATTGCGTGCTTTGGAAGAAGAGACATTTGTAGAAGTTGAAGGTTCGATATCCGCATCACTTGAAATGTGATCAGCATCAAAGAAATAGGTATCGAAATCTTGATATACGTACGATGCACTATCGTCCCCTGGTGAGCTGGTTCCAGGTTCGTCCTCGATCGAATCCCATTCGGCAATTTTATTCAAATGAAGGTCGAGGATGACCGCAAGGGCAGAAATGAAGGCTGTTTTCATTGCAATTTTATACTCTTCGCGCTTAATGACAAGGCCTCTGTCCACTCGAATGTACGGATCCTCAAATTTCCTTACGAAATCAGGATGGATATATGCCTTGTAAATGACGAAAGACTTGCGATCTTCAGATGGAGTGCGCAAGTAGAACTGAACAAAAGTTAGCGAGGACTCAAATGATATCAGGTACCAGTAACGACTGACATTTCGGGTCTGGACCTTCAAATCCAAAGCCCTGCAACGAGCGGCGTAGTGTTGAGCCATTGCAATGATCAAGCCAACATAATACGGATCAATAGGCATTTCCGAAGTCTCTACCCCAAGCAGGGGATGGATCTCTCGATTCGTCTTATATTTGATCTTCTTGTTGGCTCTTCTCCGACCCCGAAGGTTGACACCCTCGTCCTGTTCCAACCATGCCTTGTCGACGTAAGCCATGCAAACTAGTTGCTTTTTGTTGTAGACAACAGATCGACAGCTCAGACGGGCAGGCTTTTTTGATCCTCCGTACATCAAGTCCAGCGTCTGGTCGGCACTGCATGTGGAGGTTAGGACATAAGCATCAGGGGGGTTGAGCGAAGGGAGATTGACACGTACGATCTGGCTTGGTTAAACCGATATTTGCATTCCTTGTCCTTGATCATCCATTGGACCAAGAGGCTATATATGTCATACATGCGTTGGTCCTTGTCGAGTTTTTCAATAAAGCTGGAGTAAACATCGCAGACGCATTTATGTAGTTGGTCAAATGTTTGAATATTGTTCTCTCGTTTGAATGCTTGCAAGCTGATCGGTGTCTGCGATAGGTATTTCTCCTTGGGCTGGACTTTAATAGTGACATCGAGTAACTTCAAGTGCTCGCTTGTCCACTGGTCAGGTTGAACATAAAGCCTCTTTCGTGGATTTGAAATGATGGCATGGCGGATAGATGCAGGCTCTGGGATTTGGACTTCGATGGGGAGATTCTGTGGGTGGCTCGCTGGTCTTCTTGGCTGCCTGTGCCATGGTGGTTAGTAAAAGGAACCCTGGCAAGCACTAGTATCTACTGAAGTAGAGATGTGGCCATCAGAACTGGAAGTAGTTTCACCCTGAACATTTAAAGGGACTCGCTTGTCATCATCAGCAGAACTTTGAGACAACTTGCCATCTGTGCTAGAGCTTGTGTCGGAACGTGTTGGGAAGAGGTTTAGGTCGACGGTTCTGGGTGACTCGCGGAGTGTGCCTCGAAGGGTTGGAGGATTGGGGGCATCAATAAATGATGTAGGACCGGTATTATTGTGTTTGAGGATCTCTCTGAGGACTGGAAGGAAATTCATGATGAAAAATCGCGTTGATGATTCTCACGTGTTTCGGTCGTGTGAGATGACTGACGATTAAATAATGTAGGATGGGTTCAAAGCAGCTGGTATTAAGTAACTCGAAAATGGGGAAACATTGCCTGCTATTGAGAATTCACCACTCGAAGGTCGCAACATGGCGTTGGTATTGTGGTGAATATTGTATTGTAGAAGCTTCCAGCCTCAAACCAGCCACGTGCACACAATATCAAGGGGAGCTTTTGGGATACAAAAGACGTAGCAGTGAATAGTCCTATTGTTGCAACCATCTAGAACAATTCATGATGATTTCCAACCTTTGGAACAATTGAGACAATTAAGCGAGGGCTCCTGAACAATCCCCAAAGACAATTGAAACGATGAATCCAGGATTCTAGCCATGGAAATCCTTCACTCAAACATCAAGGACAATTATTACAAATTGTCCAAAAAGAACAGAATAAGATAACTATCAAGGGAGGACACTGAAATGGCAAAACAATCAAACATCACGCACACGTATCACACCAACATTCGATGAGAAAGAGAGGTATGAGGGCAGGTATTATGTATTGGATGACTACGTATAAAATAATATTACACTAACCTACAAACCTCAGTCTCAATCCCAACCCCTGCCACGATAAAGCTAAAACTAGGATACTTGGACTGATGATGATCTGTGATGAACATGTTAGCGACTAATCTCGAACATGAATGTTGAAGAATAATGCGTGTTGAGTTTTGAGACTCAGTGATCTTGGTAGAATTAATCGTCAATACTCCGAAGAGCTCAGGATTTTCAGTGCTTGTTTGTAATCATAGTCAAGGGGTGCAAGAGATATATGAAGATTGTCGCTTACCCTTGCATTTTGGATATGTACACCAGGGTCATGGTTGCTCGCTGACAGCTGTCCGACCTTGCCCAGAATGCCCACTGGCAGCCATTCGCAAGTTGACTCCACACCTTCAGGTCGTACAATCAAACACCTGAATGACGAACCATAGCGAGAAGGCGACACGAAGAGTAAGTCCAGAAGTTTAAATCTCGTAGGCCTCTCAGTACCATAGGGGTGGTGGGCTCTGTGTAGCATGGCATGGCAAGCAAGTCGCAGCTGGTATCTAAATATGTTCTGCAATCTGGTTAGCAGGCGCATTCCTTGAAAAAGAAGACAAGCAGCAAGATTGTGAGAGAGATCGTGTTCAGAATATGTAAGAATTGAATGTCATCCACCCGCACGATATAGCTACCCCGGCGAGGGTGCCACCGAAGCAGGGTCAATCGCAAATTATATCATCATTGAAAGGATTTGGAGGGAAGTGATGAAGCGGCGAGAGCTTACAGTGCAGATTGCGTACCTTCATACTGCTGGAAAGTAGAAGGTCATGGTGTTGATCATGCGACGCAATGCGCTGCGCCAGATCATCGCTCTGAGAGAGAGATTGTTGCTAGTGGTTGTCTGGAGGAGAGACCGAGAAGAAAAGCTGCGGTCGAAAAAAAGTTCCAGAGACCTTCAAGGCTTGGCGTTTTTGGCGCTAAGGCATGCATGGGTGCCTCTTTCCTAAGGCCACCACGAAATTTAGGCGGAGTATCGCGCACACATCCAATTCTCAAAAATAATAACTCCGATCACGACAACTTTCTTTCGACAAACAGCCCAGTAGGTGAACACCACAATACCTAGACAGCTATAGCATTCGATTGCTAATAATCCGCCTCAGAATCATACAGAATGGGTGACGCAGAAATCAAGACATCGACATGGAGACTGGTGGAGGTCGGTCGCATCTGCCTCATCCACGGCGGTCCATCAGATGGAAAACTTGCTACCATCGTTGAGATCATCGACCACAAGCGCGTACGTGGAAATCTGTAGATTCCAACGACTCCAGGAAAGCAAATATTGACTTGTTACAGGCTTTGATCGACGGTCCAGCAACAGACACCAAAATCGCCGTTCCCCGCCAATCAATCGCTCTCGCCCAACTCATCCTCACACCACTCATCCTCGAGAAACTGCCCCGAGCCGCCCGAACCGGTGTTGTCGCTGCTGCGTGGAAGGAGGCCGGTATTGAGGCAAAATGGCAGGAGAGCGTGTGGGCCAAGAAGCGTGTCCAGAAAGAGCGAAGACGAGCATTGACCGATTTCGAGCGATTCAAGGTCATGCGATTGAAGAAGCAAGCACGATTCGAGGTCCGAAAGTCATTGGCAAAGGTCAAGGCTTCTGCGTAGATGGATAAAACGGATTCGGGTTTGTGGGCTGCGGGGCATGATTGCATTGGGTTACTGGATTCCTTTGCTTCTCAGGGAGCTTTGTATCCTACGTCAATTTTGACAGGCGTAATGAGCATATGGACTTCAAAAGAATATTGAAGTGCTTTTCGGAATTGAAATGCTATGATACGTCAAGTATGGGACTTTTCCTACGGAGCTTGTAAATGCAAATTTTATGTGCTATGACAACTTTAATCACGTGCCTAAGAATGATTGATGTGTTTGGATTTAACAAAATTAAGACTTCTAATGCGTATTGATATAGAGACGAACTGTCCAAATTATCAAATAGTACTTAGGCAGGTATCCTTAGAAGAGATCAAGGTACCTTGGTGACTTACAAGGAGCAATTAAAAATAAAAAGAGATGGGTAGCCCTTAACATGTTTCTCCAAAGTTTTTATGAGGGCTTTCCATAAGTACTTGTCCAGCTGGACATGTTATACGTTTTTAATACATAAAAAGAGAAAGTAATAATCCTGTTGTCTGCTGTGAAGGGGACAATGGCGAATTCATTTCAAAGGTTGCAGCTCAGCTTGACCTAAGATTTAGCCGAACCACCTGCACCATACCTCAAAAATTACACCCTCCCCACCACAACCCATCGCAACCTCAACACCACATACCACCTCAACCCAGCTCACACCCATTCTCTCTGGTCAGTAAATAAACTCTCTGATTTGTCACCTCTATGTGCTTGCCTTAGAGACATTGTTACCCCCACAAATCCATCCTCTACCCCGCGCGCACAAGAAATATTCTTCCCGGAGGGTTTCTGAAAGATCTGCTAACACCCTCTACTGCAGACATACCACCCAACATGTCGAACCCACGTATCGAAGAGCTCCCAGATGAGGAGCCAGCCAAGAATGTCACCGCAGAGGACGAGGCGTCAGAAGACTCCGATTCTGAGGTTGAGACTGGAGAGGCCGAAATTCCAGCTGGTGGGGCTGTCGTCCACTCTCGTAACGAGAAGAAGGCGCGCAAGTCAATTGGCAAACTTGGTCTCGTCCGTGTTCCTGGTATCACCAGAGTCACTTTGAGACGACCAAAGAACGTAAGTGTTGTTCAATTTCGGGGTCAACAGGAGGACGCATCTCTGTGCGGCACACGAGACTCGGCCATTTCGTCATCCCTCTTTTTCTGCTTCCAGGAGTCGCCTTGATACTGGGGAAACAAAATGCTAACTTTCACTGTATAGATCCTCTTCGTTATCAACCAGCCAGAGGTTTACAAGTCCCCAACCAGCAACACTTACATGTACGCATAACCCCACCATAGCATCCAAGAACCCACACTGACATTTTGGACAGCGTCTTTGGTGAGGCCAAGATTGAGGACTTGAACTCCCAAGCTCAAGCTTCTGCTGCTCAACAACTTGCCGCTGCCGAGTCCCACGACCACGCCGGACATGATCACTCTGGACACGAGCACAGCAACGACCACGGAAAGGGCAAGGCCGTCGATACCGGTGATGATGATGACAAGAAGGAGGAGGAAGAGGACGATGGAGAGGAAGTTGATGCCACAGGACTCGAGGACAAGGACATTGAGTTGGTCATGACACAGGCAAGCGTTTCACGGAAGAAGGCTGTCAAGGCTCTGAAGGAGAACGATAATGATATAGTCAACTCCATCATGGCACTGAGCATATAGGGACACCATAACTTGCCATACTTGTACCTATATGGGCAATATTGGAAGTAGTGGGCAATTTGGAAATGCAGAAGCATCTTTGCTCTGTCAATAGCAAATTGTAAATTGAGAATAAAATTCTAACAGTGTAAAGCTGTTCGGTCTTCACAGAATATTTCACCTTTTTGTCTGAAATCTTCGTGAACTACACCTAATTACAGACCAACTGAACTTTGTCTAAAAGTATCCCTTCCTGATATAAAGCTTCGACAGTCGAGTGCTAGATCAACTGCGCAGCCTATCAAATCCATATTTGTGTATTTGTAGTGGAACAAGGGAGTTCGAAGTGGAAAAACTACATGCTATAGCTTGAATGAACTTAACGACTACTCGACCTTCTTTTAAATCCGGAAAAAACCAACCTACACAACAAAATATCTAATTTTGTTGGTTGATTTAATTTACCTAGCAAGAATGAACGCTCAATCGGCTCAAAGCGGAATATTTGCCAAACCACGTGACCAATTGTTAGCGGCTTCCGAAGCTCCAGGTTTTGACAACCATTGAGTTTAGCATCACAACTCTTTACTCCACTCCAATTCCACCAATTCATTCACAATGGCAGCAGTAAGTTCAATTTCTTGATATATTCCTCCTCAATCGAACGAGACATCGCTGGATGTCACTCTCATCACGAATCTGGCTCCCTGCACCGATCCCCCCAACGGGACACTCAAACTTCTCCAATCCCCCAGCTAACCCCAACCCTCTCGCAGAGAAGCGCAGCACTCAAGCTCGACTGGGCCAAAGTCACCACCTCCCTCGGCCTCAAAGGCCAAACCGCTGCCTCTCTCCAAGCCTTCAAAAAGCGCAACGAAGACGCCCGTCGCCGAGTCCAGCAACTCTCAGAGCTCCCCTCCAAAGTCGACTTCGCCCACTACCGCGCAACCCTCAAGAACCAAGCCGTCATCGACGAGATCGAGAAGCACTTTAGCACCTTCAAACCCGCCACGTACGATGTGAACCGACAGATCAAGGCGATTGAGACGTTTGAGGCGCAGGCTTTGAAGAATGCTGAGGAGACGAAGGGTCGGGTTGATTTGGAGCTGAAGGATTTGGAGAAGACGCTTAAGAATATTGAGGAGGCTAGGCCGTTTGATGAGCTTACTGTGGTATGTCTTTTTGGATGTTGGTCGAGGTGGGAGGAGATGGGGATAGGGAGAGGGCTAATTTTGTGGTTTAGGATGAGGTTGCGGCTGCTCAACCGCAGATTGATGAGAAGACCAACCAACTGGTTTCCAAGGGAAGATGGATGGTACCTGGTTACCAAGTACGTATTTCTGTCTGCTGCTCTCCAATGCAGTTCTTGTGTTGGTAGGTTTTTATTAACAACTTTTGTAGGAGAAATTCGGAAACCTTTCGATCTTGTAGATGGATGGGTTTGGTATTTCCTTATGTCAACTGTAAGAGTGTAAATAGCGGGTGGGTAGAAGATGAAATGGGAGAAGACGATATTTCTAATGGTCTGGGCTGTACAACTTGTGCTGTTCGATTGTTTACCCTTTTTTTATATTCAATGCACTCGAAATACACAATTACAGCAGGCAGTTCATCATGGATTGGTATACCTGTATCACAAGTGTGAGACTCAATACTTTGCTCTTCACGATGGGTTTTTATTTCCGTTGTTCTCGAGCGTATAAAAATATCTCCAAATGGGAGTACTAAAATCATTGAGGGTCCTCTCAATTTAAGTACTGCACCTCTCAGAGACTTTCGACATCAGAAACAACCTTTAATCATAGGCAATATTGCAATCCCTTTCTCAAATTTCCTTTCAACCCTCCTTCCCCCTTCCACAACCCCCCACCCCCCTCCCTTTTCCTCCTTGCCTCTTCTCAAACTCCCCCCCCCTCTCTCCTCCAATCCACACACCCCCCTACCCCTCCAAAATCCACCTCAACCCCCCCAACATATCCCCCTCCGCCCTAACCGCCCTCTCCAAAAACGGAGCCTTCAACCAGAACGTATGGGGGTACCCCACCACAACATCAAGTCGCACATCGACCCCTTGTTCGCGTAGGATTTCAGCGTATAGCACGCCGTCTGAGTAGTAGATGTCGTTGGTGCAGACTTGGATGTAGTGTTTGGGCTGGGGTGGGGGTGTTATGGAGGGGATGGGGGATGATGAAAGGGAGGAGTTTGAGAGGTTGGATTCTGAGAAGGCAAGTTCTAAAGGAAGAGGTGCCACCGTCCGATTTTCAGGTGTTAAAGCCGGGATGGAGAGGAGTGATGTGTAAAAGGGAGTAGAGAGGGAAGTATGCATCCCCCTAAACCTTTCCGGTAAGAAATCTAGATTCGAAGCATCACACAACACCGGTCCTCTCAATAGCACCCCTTTAATCCTCCCATCCCCCCTATCCCCATCCCCATCCCCTCCTCCTCGGCAACCGTCCCTTAATACAAACATTGCCTACAGCCATGAACCCCCCCCACGATGGCGGCCACAACCCTCGTGGCAGTCTTCCATCCATACCTCTCCAGCGNATCCCCCCCTTTTCTCCCAACCCTCCCTTCTCGCAGAATAATCTGCACAACCTGCCCCGCCAACTGTCCCCCAGATGACGAACCTACCACCACCACGTCATACTCCGGATACGCAGTAAGTAGATACCTGAAAGTGACCAGAGCATCAGACAAAGCGTCGTCGGCGCTGTGTTCGGGGAGCAGACGGTAGGCGATGGAGTAGATGGTCACGGAAAGGGAGTGGCTTATACGTCGGCAGGTGAGGTCTTCTGTGTAAGGGGAGCCGAGGAGTAGGGCGCCGCCGTGGAGGTAGAGTATTAAGGTGTTTTTTGAGTTGGGGTTGTTTACATTTGTGTTTACGTTTTCGCCCTCGTTCCCGGGTTTGGGGTCGGTAGGTGGTTGTGGATGTGTGGAGCTGGGAAGTGGTATATACACCCGAACGGGAATCTCATATCCCCCTCCCTCTCCCTCCGCTACTGTGGAGGGTATGAATGTATCTCTCACTTCCAACCCATGATTTAGATATTCATCTCTCCCTTCCAATAACATCTTATTTAGTTCCGAACATGCTTTTTCGTAGTTCTCCCGTCGTTGGTATGCATCTGTTACTATTGGTTTGGGGAGGTTGCGACCTGCTGCTTCTTCGTGGGCGAGCCAGGCTGGGGAGAGGGGTGGGGGGGGTGGTGAAGTATAGGTTGTTGGTGGTGGGCATGTTTTTGGGTGTTGGGGATGTGTGGGATGGGGGGATGGGGGGATGGGGGGATGGATGAGTTTGTGTTGTTGGGGGAGATATGCGATGGATAGGTTGAGATTAAGCGAGGGGATTGGTGGATTTTTGGGGGTAAGGGATGGGGGTTTAAGAGCGGAAATTGGGGATGTGGTACCTGAGAAAATTCACATTATCTTAGAAAGAGGAGATGTTATTTTTCCGGGAAAAGGGATAATGATCAGAATTTTTTCTGTACTTAAGTAGTCTTTCGCGAATCATATCATGCGTAGATCATGTTTTCTCGCTTCTTTTAGGGGATGCTTGTTAGTAGAAGTTTGATAGTATAAGTCTCTCCTTAGACTTCTGGATACATCAACTTGATTTTGGACTTGAATCAGATATGGAAAGGAGTATGCACATATTATATAACGTCCTTTGTTAATATTCTTGAGGACTTCGAGGGGACGTGAAGAAAGTTATGATAAAGTAAAGTATATACCTCGCAACCAAATAACTTCCTTATCCCCATTTCCTTTTCCTTTTCCTTTACCCTTATCCACCTTCTCGAATAGATGATTCTCTCTCACATACACGCACACACTTTCTCTATTCAATACACACTCCTCCCTACAATCTCCTAATCTCACAACCCCATTATCACCTCCCAATCTCCATCTCCATCCCCAAACCCACACCCTGAAAGTCTGAAACTGATAACACACACACACAGACACAGTATCACCCAAAGCAGACCAACACATTAAACTATATAAAACCACTACTACTAGTACCTGTATCCCCGTCTTCTCGAGGACCGACAAGATCCCTACTAACGAAATAAAACAAAGAAAAGTAGAAGAAAATTAAGCTTAGAGTCCCTAGAGTCTGGTATCCACCCCCTACTATCTCTCTCCCCCATCCCATCAAATCCACCAACTCCCACCCTCATTCCATCCCCCAAAATTCCAAAACATTGAAAAATACTATATACTCACATACCTAGGGAGGTAAGGTAAGGTAAAGGAATCTGAAAAGGCCCAGCCGGGTAAGGTAAGACTTCCATTGGTTCAGTATAATCGAGTCTGGTTTAGAGAGACACTAGGAAAAGGAAGTGAAAGGACAAGGGATATAGGACTCGGATTCTTATTTATAATTTTATTTCAACTGGGTTACAGGAAAGGAAAGGATTCGGTACTGTAACCTGTATTAGGAGGGGAAGTGTAAGTGTAAATAAATATAACAGTCAGACTTTACAATCAAGCAACACCTAGCACCTCAACAAGAATCACTCAAACCCACCCAAGTTTCACAAAGGAAGAAATGGAGAAGTCGATACCTATCCAAGACTTAATCCATTATATTCATTACCTCAACACACCTAATCTAATTACTACTCAAAAGCTTCCCCACCGCCCACTTGACACTCAAATTCCTCAAATCACTGTAATGCTGTCCCACGCCCACAAACAGCACAGGCACATTCGTAGCATGCACCATACTAACGAGCGTCCCCACCATATCCCCCACCGTATCACACTTTGAGATGATAAACCCATCCAGACCACGTCCACTCCCAAAGGCCTCGTTGAAATTCCTCGCTTGGGCCACGGAATCCGTTCCTACCAAAGCTTCCCCGACCATGAGGATCTTATCCGGGCTAGCGAACTTGGCGAATTTCTCGAGGGAGGACATGAGCCGTTGGTCGTTGTGGCGACGGCCGGCCGTATCGATGAGAACCACGTCGTAGACTTCCGATGCGGCGTAGGAGACGGCGTCTTTGGCTACGTTGGCGGCATCTTTGCCGTAGCCTTTTTGGTAGAGCGAGACGAGACCGCCTTCTCGGGCGGTAAGTTCGGTGAGGTTGCGGACGTGGACGGCGAGTTGTTCGACGGCTCCTGAGCGGAAGGTGTCGCAGGCTACGACAAGGACTTTGTATTTGTTTTGGAGGAGGAAGAAGCAGATTTTGGAGAGGTTGGTGGATTTACCGACTCCATTTACTCCGACGATGGAGATTACATAGGGTCTTCGTTTCTGGAGGGATAATGTGGATGGTGAGGTGACGGCGTCTATTTCTCGTAGAAGATCTAGTGAGGAGGTGGGTGTTAGGATCTTGCGTAATGAAGATTCCATTGCAGTTTGGATTTTTGCTTGAACGCCTGTGGTCATGTTAATAGCTGATTTCATAGTGGGAAGCTGGGAAGCGTACTCTCAAAACTGGCAGTCTTCACTCCAATAAGTTCTCTCTCCACACCTTCACATAACCGGACAGCTGCCTCTCGTGCAACATTCTTGTTGAGAAGATGATCCTCCATTCCTTTCATAGCCTTTTCCAAATCTGCCTTCGTCAAAGTCTTGCCTCCCACCACATTTCTGAAAAGTCCTTCAATCGCGCTTAAACTCGAGCCAACCAGTCCGGTAGATGCTGCCGCCGAGTTCTCCTTCTTCACATCTGCAGATGCCAATATTGAATGAACTTGATCATCCAAATCCTTCAACACAAACTGTCCCTTTCCAGTCTTTGACCCCCAAGTTGCTTGGTCCACTGCTTCCACTGCACCGGGACGATTACTTCCCTCTTCCTCTCCAGACGTTGCGCCATTCGCAGGCGCAGAGTAGTCGAGGGGTGTATCACTATCCTCATCTGCCAAACCATCTGTATCCCATTTCCGGCCCTTCTTTGGGGCTGCTGATCTCGCTGCTCTGCCCTTCTTCGAGTATGCCTCATCACCCGATGACGCATAAATTGGTGCATTCGCAGCTTTTCGTGCCCTTCTTGAACCCTTTCCTCCTGGTCCTCCCTTGGCTGTAAGCAAATGACCCGCTGGTGTACTTGGTCGGGATGTATCCGGTGTCATTCCTGGAGTTGAATCATACGTCAAGTCTCTATGGTTATTCTTCGATTGTCCTCTCGAGAGGAGTCCGGGAAGCGGAGGCGGTTCATCTATACTTTCAGAAATAGAAGGCGGTGCTTCCTCGAGAAATGCTGAGGATTCGGCTGTCCGTGTATCCTGATTGAGTGCAGTTTTCTCCAATTTCCGAACTTGCTGGTCGAAATAATCATCGAAATGGCATTCCACGACGGTTGTGTGCGGTTTCTTTAGTTGATCGCCATATAAATCCACGAATAGAGTTTTGATATTGTCAACGAGTTTGTCAATCCATGAGAGATGGAGGAGAGAGCGATACACAGCCTGCGATTTATCAAGTCAGTATAGGAGATTTATATGATTCGTAGAGTCGCAAAACTGGGGAATTACATACAACAAAGATTATTCCCAATTCCTTGACAGTCGTCCATTTGACAGTATGTTGATCGTATTTGTAAGGAGGGTTATTGGCGGCAGATACATCATCCGCGATGCCGACCCCGGGCAGTGTTTTCTCTTCAATAAAGACATTGGTGATGAGGCTATTGATGATGGCGGGGCTGATGGAGGAATATGTCTTGGACCATAACACCACACCGGACGTGGTGAGAATTTCAAAGGTATCCAACATTATGGAAAGGGATAGTCCTTCGGAGGGGAAATGTTATGGTGGTGAGATTCAGTTGGAATCGGTATCTCTTAAGTGAGGGCTACAGTGTATCTGTCGCAAAAACGAAGCCTTGTCCTTAAGCCCCTGTAGCGTTGAGCTTGCGATAAGATCTGCCCTCGGAACCCTGAAGGCTGGGCACTCACAAGCCACTGAAGCCACTCTGGGGCTCTAACTTACTAGCGGCATGGAAATCTTATGTCATCAGCCCTGTTTCTGTGCAGTGACAGTGACAGTGGCACCTCAGTGAATGGATGTGGTAATGTGTGCTATGTTCCAATAAACCTCGCGCAGGCAGTTGCAGTAAGAAATTCAGAAAAGTCCGCCCACCAACCACCTCACGGGGATCAACTTCTTCTATACATTTTCTTCTCAACCTTCTACAGCATCTCTCATCGCAAAAATGCAGCGACATTACGGCCAACCGCCGCCTCCCACATCTCCACCGCTACACCATCCAGTTCCTCAGCATGTATCTACCGTACCGCAGTTACGCTCTCCTCCTCCTCCCATGCCCCAACAACAGCAACAATCTTATGGCGGAAATCCCTATCAAGCACAAGGAGGGCAGGGAGGAAACAATGCCTTTGGCGCATATGGCGGATTCATCAACGATCCCACGGCGCAGATGGGCTTTCAAGTCGGCCAAACCGCATTAAAGCACGGTACAGAGTACATGGAACAAAACGTATGTAGAGGCCTTGATTCTCTACCGAGAACTCAAACCGTATACGAATACTAAAACCACTGCTTCCAGTTCAAACAATACGTCAATGTCTCCGCGCTCAAACATTACTTCAACGTCTCCAACTCATACGTCGTCAACAAGATATTCCTCGTTCTCTTCCCCTGGCGCCACAAGCCCTGGTCGCGCAAACAATCCATCGGTCCAAATGGGCAAGAAGGATGGTTTCTCCCCCCACGAGACGACCTGAATAGTCCCGACATGTACATCCCCGTCATGGCACTGGTCACCTACATCCTACTTTCCACTCTACTCGCCGGTCTTCGAGGGGCTTTCCAACCCGAGTTACTGGGGTACACGGCTACATGGGCATTCTTCATAGTGCTCATTGAGATTCTCGGGTTGAAATTGGGATGCTATCTCCTCTCCATCTCGAACGAGTCGCAACTCCTGGATTTGGTCGCGTACTCGGGATATAAGTTTGTGGGCGTGATTGTGACTTTGGTGGTCAGTGAGGTGGTTAATGGGGGCAAGGGGACGGGAGGGTGGATTGGATGGTCGATATTTGGATATTGTTTCTTAGCCAATGCGCTCTTTTTGGTAAGACTATCCCCCTTCTATTTCAAGACGAGAACTAACACATCCAGTTGCGCTCACTAAAATACGTTCTCCTCCCCGAAAACACCACCGACGACCGAGGAACCATGCAAACCGTCGCACGATCGCAAAAGAGTCGTCGAACCCAATTCTTATTCTTGTATTCATACCCCGTCCAACTAGTTTTCATGTGGGGTCTCACTTCTTCCATGTAAGGAGCATCTGGACTGAGAAACGGAAACGGGAAAGTAAAAGGGAAAAAAAGGAGCGCATCTTTTCTGGCGTCTGGACTTGGGCGGAGACGGAGATTGTGCGGTGGTAGAATCAAAGACATGGAAAAGCGTTGGGAATGAGGACAGGCTGGGCTGTATGAGTAAGATACCAAATTTACATTTACATTATCAAAAAAGCGAAAGAAAAAAAACTTTACAAAGAATTCAACAATATAGCTTTGCTCCTAAAGTATAATTTTTGAAAGATTTATACAAGTAGAATTTCTTAGGTATTAGATCTCGTAAGGTACTGTACCTATACTAAATGTCTACGTCAAAGCCTCGATCTGCTCTATTTATAGTATTACTTATTCTCATTCACTTTCTTCTTCTGTTTTCTGTTTTCTTTTATAGACTTATAGTACTATTACTATGCGGGTGTCCTTGAGTAGGGTTTTGTTTGGTTATGTGGTGGTATGATTGTGGTGGTATGGGTAAGAGTGTGAATCTTTGGGGGGGAGGGAAAGGCTTTGGATTTTGGATTTCGAGAGTTGAGTTAGTTATTTGGATTAAGATGGATTGAGATGGAGATAAGAGGGGGTAGGTAGTTGTGGTTATAGACAGAGATAGAGGGATAGAGAGGGCGAAGGAATAAGGGATAGTTAGTTAGGTAGGAAGTTATTATAGTTACTTAAGTAGTAGATAGATAAATAGGTAGATAGGTAACCGTAATCTACGTCTCTTACCAAGTACTTAAATCAAAGAAGTTCTTATTTTATTCTTATTTCGATTTTCATTCTTCTTCTCATTTCATCATCTATCAGCATACTACACTTCTTCCCCTGTCCCCCCGTACTAGCGCCCAAGGCCTTCCGTACCTCTATTCGCACACTATATACTCTTTTCTTTTCTTGTCTTTTCTTTTCTTGAAAAAAAAAGAAAAAAAGAGAAAAACAAAGCTCCCATCCCCCTTTCCTTCAGATCTTAACAGAGAAAGAGAAAGAGAAGAACATCGATAGGTAATCCCACTAAAACCCCTGCACTCCCCTGGAACACGTATTGTATCTCTAAACAAACATCTCTGCTCGCTACCCCCTACCATAACCTCCTTTCATCATACGTACAAAAGACTTTGATTCTGACCACTGCCACGATCTCGAACTCGGATTTGGTGAAGGAAAAAGAAAAACATGAGAAAACCCCAGACTCAGACTCCAGATTTTCTTTCGCGTACTCATACAAATCTCCCTCATTTGTCGGGTTGCTTCGATAGATGAATCAGGAACTCTTCAATGAACCTTTCGTTGAAGACCAGAACAAATCCCACATATTCCCTCCCGGTCGCTGTTCAAGGGGAAGAGAAAATCTTTCAGAATACATAAAAAGGATCGGGTTCCGGCGTCTTGTCGTCGTCGTCGTCGATGATTATCGTCTCGTTCGCGTTGTTTAAATGATGAGTTCGAGGGATATCGTCATCAATCACAATTGCGTCGTTCTCTTTCTTGTTCTCGTCATCGTTTGAGTGATTTGGAATATCGTCGTCGTCAACTATAATAACACTTGGCTGTCTCTGTGTACTCGCAACAGCAAGAGCACCAACAGGACCAAAACCAACAGGAGCCATCTCTCTCCCCACGAAATCTCTCAGAACGTCTCTCCTCCCAATTTCAAGGCCTCGAACAGGGAACCTCGTCGGAGCCGGTCGTCGTCCCACTCTCTCCCTCGGTCTCGGGATAACAACGAAATCCTCCTCTCCATCCCCATCACCCTCATCATCATCATCACCATCAAGATTGACCACCGAGTTCAACACCCCATCCACCCCATCCAACGTCCTTCGAATCCCCTCATACAAAACCCTCGCACAGATAGGCGGCACCGAATTCCCAATTTGTTTGATTTGTCTCGTCCGACAGCCTACAAAAGCGTGGTTGTTTGGATACCCCTGTAGGGTTCCGAGTTCTCTCACGGTGAACTTGCGGCGGCCGTTGGGGTGGTGAGAGGTCGGGCCTCCGTCGCAGGTTATAGTATTTTTGTGGGGGAGATCACCGTTCCAAGGGGTTTTTTGTTTGTCTAGGGGCAGGGCGACGAGGTGGGTGTTGTGGTCTGGGGCACCGTGGGGGATTGTTGAGAGAGCTTGGTTGACTGTTACGAATGGTTGGGTGCCTGAGGGGCCGTGGGTTGGCGCTGGGAATCGGGGGAGGATTTCTCCTGGGCAGGAAGCGATGATAATCAGTCGGTTTCGGTTTGCGGGGATGCCCTTTGGTTTTTGTTAGTGTTGAAGCATGAAGAAAGATAAAAGATATAGTGCGAGAATAAGAAACACTTACCCATTCCTGCAACTTAACTCTTTTCCATCTAACGGAGAAATTCTGACAAGTGAGCATATGGATAGTGGCGCTAAAGAACGTAGTCAGATGTTGATCCGTCAGTATACCATCCGTCTGCTCTAAAGTGACAACTCGGGGTCTCGCTAGGCCGACCAGATCCTTTATTGCGAACAAACTGGCCGTATTCATCTCATCATTCGGACCCGGTCGAGTTTTACATCTAGCATAGAACTGACACGGAGCGGATATGTGGAGAACATCGACTTGCATTGCCATCTTCTTTCGTTGTGACCGATTCGACTTCTTCATGAAATCATGCACCGACATCTCGTAACATTTAGCACCGCGAAAATTCTCTCTCCAGCTAGCACATGCCCACTTGTCAAAATCAACGCCCCATTTAACTTGTAGGCCTGCTTGAAGAGCACCGCGGGTGGTACCCCCAGAGCCGCAAAATGCATCACCGTATACCAATGGTTGTCCTAGAGATCTATTGGTTCGCTTGACGACTGCTGAAGACTGGTCGGGAGGGCTTGGTGTTGGTCTGATATCTGGGAATCCAGCTAGGTTTGCGGAGCTGCGTTGCCTGACTGCAAATAAACCTCCATTAGCTGGACGAGAAGCTGGTTGTTGAGGCGACCCGCTGTTCAGATCGATTGCACCCAGACTGCTGCGAACACCATTCAACCGTTCGGTGCCATGCTTCTTGTTCGGGGACTCGTCACCGTCAGCTGATGGCCGCTTACGCTTGTTGGGGGAGTAGGCAGGTTCAGGGTCAATCTCAATAACTTCTCCTTCTTCTTTGGAGCGGGCTTCGGGTTGTTGTTCGAGGTGTCCTTCTCTCCAGTCGTTCCACTGAATAGCTTCGTGGACCCGCAGAGCAGGATCCGGAATATCGCTTTTGCCAAGGCGCTCGAGAACATTGTTTCTCCACGAATATTTCTTTTCCGTCGTAGAGATGTAGTCAATAAATTGCCATCGAGCTACAATTGGCGCATTCTCTTTGATCGCCTTTAGACTATCCTCCTTCAATATTCTTCCATTGTTATCTCTGACAAGATATTCATCTTTATTCCAACATCTGAGAAAGACATCGTTCTCGTCAAAAGCTCGGTTGGTTACGATCAACTTTCGGATCTTCTTGAAGTGGACCAACACAACTTCCGTCACTCGCTCTATCTCAGGATGATCTATGTCCACTTCTTTCGTGAAACAGACTTCGTTGGTTTTTTTGATTAGCAAACCTCCCATTCTCACGTTCCTGCGCAACAGATGCCCGTGCAAGAGAATATCAGAGGTATTGCTGTTTCTTAGAACCTTGGTAATCCTCAAGAAATCCCCGGAATACAACTCGATAGTTTTCTTTGGTGCCAAATTATAACGACGATGGACTTTATAAAATGGCAGCTCAGTAAAATGAGGAGCGATTTCTGGCGTACGAGTCGTAAAGTTTCCAGGCCTGAACCGACGTGCTTGAGGGGCTTCCGGGCTTTGGGGTTCTTCTTCATCGTCGATCAAATCCAAAATTTCGATGACTTTGACATCATCCTCATTGTCGATCTGCATCGGTTCTTCTTCATCGTCGATTGATATGTACTCGGGTGGTTCCGCCATGATACGATCTAAAGGTAGTCAGACATTTGATCGACATGTGTGGACGGGAGAGGGAGAGGCAAGTCACTAAAACGTGATTTCATGACACCAACCAGTCCCTCGTAGGAGCGGGAAGAAGATGAGGGTTGGCGCCAAATATCATGATACGAGTAGATAGAGATCGAAGTTTGCAAAAGAGGGGAATATGTAGGTACTTACTGGCAATGCCGTCGTTGCTTCCGCACTTGCTGCGTAAAAGATTGCGCAAATCGTTCCTTGGGTGCTCAGAGGAAAGGGTGTACCCCTATATCAATCTCATGAAGAAGGAATGAGATGGAGCAAGAAGCAGAAGGTGACGAAAGTTGACGAGAGGTTGAGAGGTTGAGAGGCTGAGAGGCTGCGAAGTTTTTGGGCTGTTGAGAGATTAGTTGAGCATCAGTGCCTAGTGAGGGTTGTCAGGCAGCAAGGTATACCGCTTATACATGCCAACTTGGCTTAGCCTTGTACTGAAGTGAAGGTGAACAAAAGTGAGGGTGAAGGTGAACAAAAGGAATTGAAGCAGGAAGATGAGAGCATGATTCTGTCAACACGAAATTCCAAGTGTCTGGTGAGTTTGGAACAACAAAGAGACGCTGCGGTGGTGAGGAGATGACTCTCCTCAAGATTGATTAATGTGCTATTGTGGAAATTCCGAAGAAAATACAATAGTCGAGATACACAGCTTGTGTAACACCTTTCTCAGGTGGGTAGTACATCCAAACTGGACAAGGGGGAGGGAGGGATTGGACTTGCCTTGAACCAGTCTTAAGAAGTTACAGGAGTCTCTTCAGTAAAAATAGCAAACAAAAAGTGAGGGGAAAATTGAACGATTGTGTATTGTGCCAAAAAGGAGGTAAGGGGCAATGTATTCAAGCAACAGCTCTGTTGGAACAAAAGAATACAGTAAGGTAGGTTCAGCGTCTGAGAATCGTCAAGCTCATGAATTCATGACCTTCTAAAGAATGATAAGCCAGCTTTATTCTGAAGCATTGTTAGAACGTGCACTCCAAATTGGAATAATGATCATGACCTACAAGAGCATGGCCATATCAAATTACGTTTCCGTCTCTGTCTCTGTCTCTGTCTCTGTCTCTGTCCTGTCTCTACTTCTTGGATAAGAGCCCATAATCTGTTCGCTACTTGAGATGAGAAATGAGGTATCACAAGGTCATTAGAGACAGAGGGGCGATTTTAGTAGCCGATTGGTGGCTATCTGCATATTGCTGCTTTCTGGAAGCCAGTGCTCCAAGCCTGTAAGCGACTGGCTGCTGTGACAGAGCCTTGATATACACGTACCAAATCTGGTGCCTAACTACGTAAAGTAGTCGGTGTCCAAAAGAGGGCCTTTGATGTTTGCTTGTCATTCTCCTGCCTGGTAATCTCTACCATTATGGGAAGGAGAGGAGTTGTCCATAAGCAGCAGGAGTTGAGAGGATGTTACGTCATTGATGTGAAGACATTGTGAAGTCAGAAATAAAGCTCTGTGATATTTCTTTGGATGAAATAAAAAGGAAATTAATTGGCGTGATTTATGATATAGAGATTTCCTTCTTGGTGCCTTTGGGAGGTTTTTATGAGGTCAGGATAGCAGGTAATTAGGTGGATCATCGCCGCACCTTTGGTAGCAAATCGGCAACACAGCACAGCCACAACCACTGCCAGGCCCAGCACCCCGGAACTGCTAAGTCAGCGGTGCTAAGAACCGCCGAGTACTTTTTTGGAACCAACCCAACTCATTGCAAAAAGGTGGGAATCGAATATTTGGGAGACAGATCTCGCTAAACACTGTACGCATAGCCACAACATAGTAGACTTAGTGAAAATGTTCTATAAACCCTAACTCTTAACCCAAACCCTAAACCTAGCCCTAACCCTAACCTCCCTAACCTATAGGGAAAGTTCTAAGTCCTTAACAAGAGGCTCTATACTATTGTTAAAATGTGTTGTGTTATGATTTTTTAGGGCGGGTCTTAGTGATTGTTGCACCTGTGTGGCTAGTAGTAGGTCAGTGCGCTTAGAAAAGTAGGTGCCGGCATTCTTGGACCGCCACTGACCGCCCTAGACAGGCCATGAATTAAGCGAAATCTGTCTCCCAGGAATCGAATATTTGGGAGACAGATCTCGCTAAACACTGTACGCATAGCCACAACATAGTAGACTTAGTGAAAATGTTCTATAAACCCTAACTCTTAACCCAAACCCTAAACCTAGCCCTAACCCTAACCTCCCTAACCTATAGGGAAAGTTCTAAGTCCTTAACAAGAGGCTCTATACTATTGTTAAAATGTGTTGTGTTATGATTTTTTAGGGCGGGTCTTAGTGATTGTTGCACCTGTGTGGCTAGTAGTAGGTCAGTGCGCTTAGAAAAGTAGGTGCCGGCATTCTTGGACCGCCACTGACCGCCCTAGACAGGCCATGAATTAAGCGAAATCTGTCTCCCAAATAATCAATTCCAAAAGGTGGGATCCTTTCTCTCAAAAAGAAGAATGTTTTTTACGACTCTGCCCCGCATTGCTCCTCTCTCTCACCACCGCCGATTCAAGCTTAGGCTGAGGCTGAGATCCAGCTTCCATCAATTGGATTGAGTCGGTCAACGTCAATCACTCAAAACTTTCTGCGACCGCAAATCCCTCTTCCTCTTGGAATTGATCCTTTTGGACTGCGACTGCCCCTCCATCGTTGCTCATTGTTTGCTGTACGCAGACACAAATACTGAAGTAGACGCAGACGCAGCTCAGCTCTATAGAATCGGTATGCCGCCCCTCTTCCTTTCATGCACTTGTCTTGCCAGAATCTGCGACTCGCCAATGGTTATGATGATCGAAAAATTTCAAGATGTTAGACTTCCTACACATACTGAGGATGCAAATTTGACCTGAACCATGATCGCTTTCTATCTTACTTCAATATCTACAATATCATGGTTTATTCAAGCTAACCTGTCCAGTGTAAAACACCTCACACCTCACTCAGAACTGCATCCGCAAAGATGTGCGGGATCCTTGGCCTCATACTTGGCGATACTCGCGACCAGAACTCCACCGCCGCCGCCTACGACCTCCACGATGCCTTATACTATCTCCAACACCGAGGACAAGATGCATGTGGTATTGCGACCTGCGCTTCGGGTGGAAGAATCTACCAATGCAAGGGAAATGGTATGGCCGCAAAGGTGTTTGGCGATGGATCTCGAGTTCAAGACCTTCCTGGTTTCATGGGTCTAGGTCACTTGCGATACCCAACTGCTGGTAGCAGTGCAAGCGCCGAAGCACAACCCTTCTATGTCAACAGTCCCTATGGCATCACCTTCGCCCACAATGGCAACTTGATCAATGCCGTAGACCTTCGCAAGTACTTGGACCAAGAGGCGCACCGACATATCAATACCGATAGCGATAGCGAATTGATGCTCAACATCTTCGCCAACGAGCTCAATGAGACTGGAAAGGCTCGTGTCAACAGAGAGGACATTTTCAGTAGTCTGGAACGAATGTATGAGAGATGTGTAGGTGGTTTCGCTTGTACTGCAATGCTTGCTGGTTTTGGAATCATGGGCTTCCGTGATCCTCATGGAATTCGACCCCTCGTCATTGGCGAGCGGCCATCCGCAACACTTCCCGGCGCAAAGGACTACATGCTTGCTTCTGAATCCGTTGCTCTCCGTCAACTCGGTTTCGACAATATCAAGGATATCCTTCCTGGACAAGCCGTCATCATTAAGAAGTCTACTGATGGCAATTTCTTCGAACCTGATTATCGCCAGGTCGTTCCAATGAAGGGATACTCGCCTGACATTTTTGAATACGTTTACTTTGCTCGCCCTGACACAATCATCGATGGCATCAGTGTGCAGGCTAGCAGAATGACCATGGGTCACAAATTGGCCGATACTCTTGTCAGGACTCTTGGTGCTGAAGCTATCAAGGAGATTGATGTAGTTATCCCCATTCCTGAGACATCCAACACATCCGCAGCAAGTCTCTCTGAGCGACTCAAGATTCCATACTGCCAGGGTTTTGTCAAGAATCGCTACGTCTTCCGAACCTTCATTATGCCTGGCCAAGGTGCTCGACAAAAGTCGGTTCGTAGAAAGCTGAGCCCAATTCCATCGGAGTTTGCGGGGCGTACTGTTTTACTTGTTGATGATAGTATTGTTCGAGGAACGACTAGTCGAGAGATTGTTACCATGGCAAGAGAAGCTGGCGCAAAGAAGGTCATCTTCGCGTCTAGCTCTCCTCCCATCACACATGCTCATATCTATGGTATTGATCTTGCTGATCCCAAGGAGCTTGTGGCCCATAACAGAGATAGACATGATATTGCAAAACACATTGGTGCTGAAGAGGTTATCTATCAGTCTCTTTCAGATCTCAAACTTTCCTGCGCCGAGCACTCTCCTCGAGGACTTACACAAGAGTTTGAAGTTGGTGTCTTTTGTGGCAAGTATGTTACACCAGTCACCGACGGTTACTTTGAGCACTTGGAGAAGATCCGTGGTGAGAGCAAGAAGCTCAAGGTTTTAGAGAGCGCGAAGGAAATGCTCATTACTGGCAATGCCGGAGAGAAGGAGCTCGATTTGATTCAACATGGTGTTGCAGTCAACAATCATGGTCAAGTTGTTCCCGATATTCCGGGTGCCGTAAATGGCAACGGTAATGGTGTGAATGGAAGTGAGAGACGCAAGAGAGAGCGAGAAGAAGATGCAATCACTCCTCCTGTAAGAGATCGTCATGATATCAGGTATGTACCCCGATGAAATTCTCTCTGAAAATAGTGGTTTGAATCTAACGATACGTAGTCTGCATAACTTTGCCAACGAGCCACAACGAGGTTATGAATGAATATGACATATTATGTAATTAAATAAGGCGTTCAACGGTTGGGAGGTGGTTTGTCTGTAATTCCCTCTGGGTAGGAAACCTCTGATTTTGGAAGGTGCTGGTGGCGTTTGATTCGAACTTCGAACATGATGACGATATAGTATTAGCTGTATCTAGAGAAATACTTGGGTAGGCTCGCCAATTACTACATTACGTTGTCAGTGAACTCCAACATTTTGTCTTGCTATCCAACTGGAGATGTGACTAGGATTCCCAAGGTACAACTATAACTATACTCTCCTCACTTACCTAATACCTATACGCTGCCGTTCTAAGCTATAAGCTCCCATGGTGGCTGGCTTATCTGTTGGTAGAATTTCTACGGGACAATACTGTACAGTACCCCTCCAGATTCCTTTTCCTTTTCCTTTTCCTGGCGTTCGTTCATATGGAGAGAGTTCTAAGACGTGTTTATCTCTTTAATTGGAATCGAATATTTGGGAGACAGATCTCGCTAAACACTGTACGCATAGCCACAACATAGTAGACTTAGTGAAAATGTTCTATAAACCCTAACTCTTAACCCAAACCCTAAACCTAGCCCTAACCCTAACCTCCCTAACCTATAGGGAAAGTTCTAAGTCCTTAACAAGAGGCTCTATACTATTGTTAAAATGTGTTGTGTTATGATTTTTTAGGGCGGGTCTTAGTGATTGTTGCACCTGTGTGGCTAGTAGTAGGTCAGTGCGCTTAGAAAAGTAGGTGCCGGCATTCTTGGACCGCCACTGACCGCCCTAGACAGGCCATGAATTAAGCGAAATCTGTCTCCCACTCTCAAAAAGGTGGGAATCGAATATTTGGGAGACAGATCTCGCTAAACACTGTACGCATAGCCACAACATAGTAGACTTAGTGAAAATGTTCTATAAACCCTAACTCTTAACCCAAACCCTAAACCTAGCCCTAACCCTAACCTCCCTAACCTATAGGGAAAGTTCTAAGTCCTTAACAAGAGGCTCTATACTATTGTTAAAATGTGTTGTGTTATGATTTTTTAGGGCGGGTCTTAGTGATTGTTGCACCTGTGTGGCTAGTAGTAGGTCAGTGCGCTTAGAAAAGTAGGTGCCGGCATTCTTGGACCGCCACTGACCGCCCTAGACAGGCCATGAATTAAGCGAAATCTGTCTCCCGGATAATCGATTCCCTTTAATTCTGTACGACGAGGGTAGCGTAAGGGACTGGAAGAAAGTTTTACAGGGGAAAAGGGAGTTGAAGTCGTAGAAAATCCCGGAAATCAGGGTATTTAGAAGTACAGTACAATAAGTCGTCCTTCCAAGTACTTCGTATAATAAAGCTTCTAAACCATCATCTTTCTTCGAAGTTTCAATCACGTTTCCCAACTTCCCGGAATTCTTCCCCCTACAGTAGTCTTGAGAGTGAGATGCGAAGGAAGCGAAGAAAGGACGTAAATTCAAGCGGGATTGGGACACAAAACCGTTGCCGAGAAAGGGGTTTGGTACGGCCAAGAGGAGAAAGTCTTGGTTGTAACACTTTGGACCTCCTTCTCCAGTTTTTCGATACCGGGTTAACAATGGCATGCGGCATGCCATGGTCGCACTCGATTACGGTAGGCGTGTAGAACTATACTGTGGAGTTGGGGTGTGGAGTAGAAGGTATGGAACGATCTTCTCGACTGAAATTGTTTCTAAAATTCCGAGCGAACTGTAGTTACGTTTGCGCTTGGCGGGAATTGTGGGATGGGGATGGGAGGAGGTCGTGCGGGGGTGGATGGGAGGGAGATGTGTATATATAATTCGTAGGAGTCGAACCGTGCTTCGAAGTCCTATTATTCCATTCTAACTGTGTCATTCTCATTCTGATAATCACATAAACTGCCGGCAAGTCATTTATCCTACCTACAACCAAGATAATAATTAAACCTCCCTATCCAACCCACCAACCCCCAACAATCAAAATGAAGACCTTCGCCCTCCTTACCACCCTCGCCCTTGCGGCTCTCACCACCGCTCTCCCACAAGGTGGTGGTCTCAACGTCCCCGCCCAAGATCCATGCCAGAAAAGTCTTTGTGACTCTGATTGTCCTCCTCCAAAGCTCGTATGTGTACCTATACGTATCCCCATATACCCCTTTCCTGCTCTGTCTATCATTCCAAGCTTTGTCGATTTGGGTGGGATGAGATTGTGTCGGAACGTTCTGAATTTTTGCTGACTGCGTTTGATTGCAGTTTGTCTCTAAAGTCCAGTGTAAAGACGGGAAGATTGCTTGTATTTGTGGTGTCAACCACCCTTAGGCTGAAGTAGGGCTGGTGCGCGATGTGGCTGGGATGTGTGGGGTTTCTTGGGAAGTGGATGGAGGGATAGCGTTATATTCCGTTAAATAAAGACTTCATTGAGTGTTTTGATTATTTTACATGGTGTTAGATTTTGAGGATTTGAGGTTCGATCGTGAAAGAAAGGGAAAGAGGAGTTTCTCGATCCAGACGAGGTTATGGTACTCGAGTACTCAGCGTGTCCCGTTCCTCGGTCTTAAAAATAAACTTGCCAGCACAGTCTGCTGACTCAATTTCTTTATTGTACTGCGCAGATGCTTCTTAAATAGATCTAGTTGGAATACAGACACCTTGAAGCATCAATTTTCGGTCTTCAGACTTCATAGCTCTAATACTTCGTTGACTTAAGACTCTTCTTCTTATTCATACTTACTTGACTTGCTGCTCTGTTGTGGGAAAAGAATGGTACGGTACTAGAACCACTCAGTGGTATCCACTCATTCATTCATCTGGCATATGATTGATCTGACTACTAGTATAACCAATCATAAGTATAGCCAATCATATGATCTGATTCATATCGTTTTTTCCTCGCTTAAATTCTTCCCACGCGAAAGTTTGAGGAGAGGGTCGTAAATTAGTAGTTGCGGATACAAGGAAGGGGATTGTAGGACGTTGGATAATTTGAGGTGATTTACTCATCTCATCACCGTTGGATGTTCGTCTGAATGGGGTTGGGCGTGGTTTGATCGTGAAGTCTCGGAAGAAGGTGGAATATTAGTGAATTGCTCTAACAGCTTCACATATTCTTTACTAAGCTCTTCTTTACCTGATATGACATTCTATAGGGCATGCATATTTTCCTTGTGGGTTGACACTGTACAACGTTTCAAGGTTACTGCTCAAGAGGGTAGTGCTGCAGAAGAAGCTGTGTAAGATGATTGAAGTGTATAAGATGACGAACTTGCTGGTGTTTTCAGATCCTTTATGGATTTCTCTATGAAAACAGCTGATGAAGTAGCTGTGTTGGCTACTTCTTCCCCTTGGAGCTTGTAATTGGGCTCTTCAGATGCGCACTCTCATTACTCTGTGACGTATGTTGGATGAAGCGGGAATGAGAAAACATTAGGTACCTCCTCAGTCAGAATTATGTCTTAGACAGAAATAGAAGTTCCTTTCTGGATTTGAGAGAGCTCGTTACACTGGGAGTGCTATAGTTGCAATGTTGCTATCCGAGGAAGCGACGGAAGTCTCCCTCTTCATTCGGTCGCGTTCACAATTGTATGTCAATTCTTACTTCGCACAGCTTCGTCGGTAGTTGTTGTTCACCAGCTCGACATTCAACAGTCATGAAGGAATTTCTCATACGAACCCATTGAATATCCCGTCTGCGATGACCGTGAATTTCTGTAGAGTGATCAAAGAGATTTGCGTACATGGATTTGAGGCAAGTTAGAGGTGTTCTTAATTCGTGAGTACCCCATAAAAGGAAGGTACAAGCAGTTTCTCGTCTAGGAAGCAATGATGTGATTTAACTTCGATACCTCAAGTGAGGTGTTGAGACGTGTGATCCACGGGAAGCTTACTTATTGTACCACAAATACTGATTCAAGGTGCGAGCAGACTTATTTCAAATAAAAAGAAGCTAGAGACTGGAGGTCTAGAGATTAATCAGCCCTAACTAAGAGATTGGGACATTAATTTCCGTCCTTTTCCGCCAAGCAGCTAGGTGATAGTCAATCGAGAATCTCTCTGCCTAGAATTCCTGACAAGAGAACATCGGGATTGAAAAGTTTATTCTGACATGCTTCGTTGTAACCATTTATGCAGTGGGCATACAGAAAACATTTAGCCATCGGTCTTGTATTTATCCTAATTTACCATGACATCTTGCTATTTATATAAAGACATAAGATCTACGGAAAAAGTAGCTGTTATAATAGCGCGCTTATGACATTTACATAGTTTCTCTAGACAGCAAAAGACACAAAAACAAGACCACCCGTATATAGACGAGACAGCAGGAGAAACCTTACAAGAGCCAGCGCATGCCAACGTAACAGACATATTTTATCGCTTTCTCCAAGGCTCACTTCTGTTGCCTAGACTGCTTTGTCTCCGCGGCCCTGTTTCCTCAATCAAGTACAAGCTAGTCTATTAACAGCAGTATATGTACTAGTGTTATGAATCTATTAGTAAAGTAGACAGGCACAAGAGGTTAACATGTATACGTACACCCTTTTCATCTGAATCTCTAGCTTTACACTCTGCCTCCTGCGGCCCTTCCCTTGTTGGGGCTGTTTCTTTCGACGCTGGAAGAAAAACCTCCTCACATTGTCGTTGTACATAGAATTCACCACCTGGTTTAGATGCATAAGCATCACCCTATACGTATGCTCTTATTAGCATTACTATTCTTACATTTCAGAAAGAGTAGTAGAATATTGAAATCAAGTCTGCAAAAGAAGAGCTAGCACGTACACAGAAGACACTCTTAGTACATGGAAGCTGAGTACCTCCTTCACCTTTAATAAAACCATTTGCTGGAAAAGAGTGTCCGTTGTCCTCGGTATACGCTGTTCTGAGCTCCGCTACTACCATCGTGGCCAGATAGCCCATAGTCATAAGAATAGGTGCGATTTGCATGATAAAGGCGATTTAGTGTCCTAAATTCGTGTCGATTTTGATTCGTTTCTTGTGAGGGACTTTTAAACAAAGATTGTAATAAATGTAAGTTTTTGAAGAATTATTTTTGAGTGAGAACCAACCACGTGTCATATAGTAATCGAGCAATCTCCCGTGGACCTTTTTCGGCATTCGTCTTCGGCATAACTTAAAGTTTGTATAGGGTAAAGCACCTCGTAAAATTAGCAATTGTTATGCTGGCGCGGTGAAGAATCAAATGTAGCGTTATGTTTTCGGTTCATTACATTACCTAGTCCCGAAGGACACATTCCACTGAATTAATCTTGGCATGTTTGGCTTAAATTACTCAAGTACTATCTTCCCCCTTAACCAAAAGGTTATTTCGTGCAAAGTGGCGCCATTCCGTTATCCCCAGCAAAGCCTATTCTAACCAATCAAAATATTCGAAGTAGTACTCCGTACTCATAGTTATTTTTATTCGATGTACAAGCTAAACGGTTCTATTTCTCGTTACAAGTTAGCATTCGTATATAGTGTAGAACTCTACACTAATTTATATGGTGCACCCTAAATGTACATTCCAGGTTTCTTTTAAGACGAACAGGCCGTTCGTTCTAGGTAAATAGTCGTAAGTCTTTAGGGGGGGTTTACCTTGTTACAAACCTTAGCTACCCTAGGAGAGGTAAAGGGGGTGGACAGCTAAGAGTCACACCATGTCACGTAGATCATATCTTTATTTATTTATTTATTACTATTTAACGTCAGGCGGAGTCTAGATCACGTGGTCTAGGTCCTAAAAAGTCCCAACATAGGGCAAACGACGCTCCAGGATACAGAGGGGTGTAAAGAAAGAACGCTATTTACAAGAGACAGTTTAAAGAGAAGCTCCACTTCCGGAACAGCCCTTATCCCTAATCAAAGAAATTCCAGTAGCTATGCATTTGCTACTACTAGCTAGGCTAGTAGCACACTCTGGGAAACCACAAGGGGAAAAACCAAAGTAATAACTGTTCTGGTTGGCCAGTAGAAGTCATGATTCCTCCCTCTATAGTATGCCCATCCATCTACTAGGTGCCTCTGTCCTAGGCCCCGCCGAGACTCTATCCCAACCTAAAGCATTCGTGGTTATTACTAACCGAAAGACCTCAAAGGTCTTTCCGTTTGTGAGCTTGTAGAATAAGGCGTGTAGTCGCATTGTTGCCTCTGTATCGAGGTTCTAGTAGAAAGGGTGCTACCTAGTAGGGAATCCGCTAGGCCTCGTATTAAACAAAGGAAATAGACAACTCTTGCTCTCCTCCTCCTCTCCTATCATCTCCCCTTATATACCCTCCTCTTTCTGTGAGCCCTAAAGGGCAGCGGTCTTCCACATCCCCTTACCCGGCCAGTGGCGCTGGTGCGACTTTCCTCTATTCCTAGCCTTCCTCCACTTGTTTTTCGTAACAAGTGTCGTACTAGGGTAGGTCTAAAGGCCCCCAACCCTTATTTGTAGTAATCGTGAGTATGTACCGTGAAACCAGGGCTTGCGTTGCTGCCTCGAGGGCTCGCCGAATTTGTCGAGTGTATAACCATCCCTTTCTACCCCCTCCTGCTTTCTCAGCCTTCCCACAAGCGTGTTCCGAAACTCGTATAGTAGATAGGTATGTAGGTCGGAATAGCTGGTTTACTGATATTTGACTCAGAGCCTCGTAATCGGTATTTGTCTTAAAAGAGGATTGTGCTTGTCGTTGTAGTGGTACCTCTGAAATGGTGATTCTTGGCGTGAAAACTCTGCCTCGGGATTGCCCCAACCCCCAAAATCCTCCAAACCACCTTTCTAGACTGAATCTAGGCTCTGGAATAATATTGCAAAGTGACCTCGGGCACAGTGCGCAATTCTCAGGTTCGTAGAGGGCACCACGTACAGGTGTTCAGTCATCGCCCTCCCGTAGATCATATCAAAACCCACTATATAAAGGGCCTTTCTAATAGCTTTTATGCTGTTTCTTAGGCAGTATTTTCTAACTAAGCAGTTCAATTACGCATTCTATTAGCTAAAGCCCCCTGTTTTTAGCTAAAATATATCGCATAAGAGTGGACGTATAGTAAGGCGTCGATCTTATTGAGCTAGCATGGTGTGACTCTTAGCTGTCCACCCCTTGATATTTATTTCGGCTATATCGAGGTTCTAGACTATAACGTACCCTGTATGTCCTTATCTAGCTATCCTAGTATAGCGAAGTATATATTAAGAATAATTTGTAGAAACGGCCTTTCTCTAACGTATTAAGCAAGGCCCCTTTAAAAGGTTTAATCAATTGCTGTATGCCTAAGACAGTAGAAGTGTGAAAGTTAGTGTTGGAAGGAGTATATGTATTACGAACAATACTGTAATAAGCAGTTCACAGATGTCCTTCAGACCCTTCGACAAGCTTGGGACTGGGTAGCGCAGTAGAGCTTTATTTAACACTCCAGTACAGTATAGCCATCATTTCTAAAACGAAGTACCAGTAGTATCAAAGGTTAAGTTTAAGATTAGCCTTTCCCTGACATAAGGCAAATTCCACAAGTTCTTCTTAACAACACCTCGCCCTTCGACTCATGCTGCTATGCGAAATGAATGCAAGTTCTCTTGGGTGACTAAAGTCCCGTTCAACTATAATTAGTTGGGTTTAGTTTCTTGCGAAGCGTACCCCGGAATACACAAAACTCGCAAAAACTCTATTCGCTTATGGGCACGTTCTTGGCTATGAATATTCAATAAGTTTGAGATAGAAAAGACACAGATATTAGTCTTGTTTCCTCCCAGTCTACCATTGAATCTTAAGATTTGAAAGGATACGAGATTCACAGAAGATATAGCGGTTACAGTAGCGCGTTTATGACATGTACACGGCTTCTCAACATCGCAAACGATACAAGAACAAGTCGAGATCTAGGCGACATAGCAGAATGAGGCTATGTGTAGTATGGCAACTAGAACATTCTAATGTAACAAAAACAGGATAAGTGGATACGGAACGTGCGTTGGGAACAGGAGAAGGAAAACTAGGGATACAACGGCTAGTAGTCCTTTTGAAGCGACAACTTTACTAGATAGACAGGAACTATTCAAAAGAGCAAACTCGGTACATGTTTTCTTATAGGCGTATGAAGTTGAGCTAGCGCAGGACAAACCCCTAGACCACAAATGTACGCCTGTACCAACTTCTACCTTGTGAGACCTGTAATTCTCTAAAACGTTCACCTAGTCTCAACACACAACACCTAGCATACGGCAACCCTCGTCTCTTCTAAGGCTCGCTTCTGTAGCCTACACCTTTTCCTTAAGCGAGGAAAAGATAGGCTATATACAGCAGTAGACATTCTAGAGTTGATAACCTATTAGTAAAGTAGACAGCCACAAGAGGTTAACATAGACACTTACACCAGGTTTACCTGTACTCTGAGCGTTACAGGGTACTTGCACCGCCCCTAATGGCTTTCCATTCTTATCCTCTCCCGGGTGGTAAAATGGGTCACAGAGGGTTCGTCCTATTGTGAACGCTTTGCTACCTGGTGGAGATTGAGTGTAGGAACCCTAAAAGTATATTCTTAATTAGTCTTTCTATTCTTACATTTTGAAAAGAGGAGAGGATACTAAAATGTATTACATACACAGTAGACGTTAGCAGTACAATCACTCTTCTTTCCATTAACTCGATCTACAAGAAAGCCATCTGGTGGAGCAGGGTACCCCGCCTCCTCAGTATAAACTGTATCTGCCACGACAGTCGTGGCAAGATAGCCCAAAGTTGTAAGAAGAGCTGCGATGTGCATGATGAAGGTATTCTGGTGAGGTACGTATCGATGTTAGAATCGTTTCTGATAAGTGACCCTTATGCCGAGAGTAAAATAAGGAAGAATCGTAATTCCTGACAATGACACCTGAGCAAGAATGAACCACTGGACTATATAGCAATCGATTACTCCTCCGTAAACCTTCTTTTACTTCGCCCTGGCATAATAAGTATAACTTTTCTGAGGTAGCTACAGCATATTGCTTCGTCCCCGGCATAATGATAGTAGGTTTACTAGGGTGGCTTCAGTAGAGAACAGGGTAAAGACGCCCGTAAAAGTCACAATTATTATACTTGGGCAGTAAAGTGTTAGATATAGTGCTATGTTCGGCTCTATAGTACTACGTTTCCTAGTCCCGAAGGACACACCCCGCTAACTTACTTCGCCTTGTGATATAATTGTAAACTTCCAAGGGGCTTTTTCCCTGTTGTAAACCTTAGCCACCCTAAGAAAGTTATATTTGCTTTGTTTACGACGAAGTATTAGACTGCAAAAGTATCCTGTGTGTCCTGGTCCGGTCATCCCAACTTGGCCTTTCCCTGACGTACAGGTTCAGGCCCCCATAAAGGTACCAACTTATTACCGTATGCTTGAGACGAAGTAGTGTCAAATATTAAGGTTAAGATTAGCCTTTCCCTAACGCAAGGCAAGTAACTTCGTCCAATGCGAAGTGAACGTAAGTTTTCTCAGGTTGCTAAGGCATGTAACGTGGTTACATGGCCCTCCGGAAACTAACATTTATTTCGCATGGGGCGATGTGTTTCCTGCACCGTTCAGAGGGGTTTGAAGAGCGTCATAGACGTGCTACCCTGGGTTGTCAAAGAAATGCAATTCTGCGCCGAGGTGGCTCAGGCGAGCAACAGGGTAAAAACGCCTAAAACTTACAGCTATATCGCCTGGGACCAAGTAAATAGCAAGCTTGAATCTACTTGCATCCTTGAAGTATAGGGAATATTTACAGACCTTTTCGTCTGAATTTACGACCTTAATAGGCTATCAGGGAATACCAGAGGTATAATATCCCATAAAATCCCGCTGTATTTTGCTTATAATTTGATACTATTTTATATCATCTGGAGGATCATCTGAGATCTGATTTAATTCTATAATCTGACTCTTTTACTCGTCCGATATCGTGAAGTCTCTCTTAACGAAATTCAAAGGGTAAAATCCGAGTTCCAAAATAAGAACCTGGCTATGCTCGTGTTTTTCTTCGTTCAGATGGAAATATTAATTCTTCAATACGACATTGTGTTTTTTCATTAAACCCCTCTAAAACAATAAGAGATCTAATTTCCATGAACAAAGCATTCTGTAAACCTCTAACCTTATTATTCCTAATAACCTCTAAAGATTTACCAATAGATTTATTAATATCTTCATCAACAATACTAATAGAGGTAGGTATAGAACCCTGATTAGAATCCGAAGACTCAAAACCACCCACAATAAAAAAAAAGCAAAATCCCCAAAAAAAGCAAAATACCAAAAAAAGAAAATACCAAATAAAAGCAAAATCCCAAATAAAAGCAAAATCCCAAATAAAAGGAAAAGGAAAAGCAAAAGCAAAAGCAAAAAAGGTTATCCTTGCGCGCCAAATGCTATTCTAATGCACTTTAGTGCCTTGTCTCAGCTAATGCAATCGACGGTCTTATTTTACTAAGCCATGTTCGTGTCTGATACAAAAAACCTATATTATCTGTACGACCAAGTCTGATGTTACATTTCAAAGCAAGTGTAGCTAGCTAAGTCGCTGCACATTATACGCTGATCCCCTTGGGGGAAGCAAGCTATCTATCTTATATCCATTCACTATTAAATAGCGACATGAAATACAGAGTATAATTAATAAGAACTGCTAGACCATCCCCTGTCTAGAAGCATGCTCTACGGAGGTAAATTTGTTTGCTTGTCGCTAAGCATACCCTTCTATTTACAGTGTCAACTTTCTATCATTTTCTCCCAATAGTACAAGTTCCCACGAAACTTTCGATGTCTATTCCTATCTTCTACAGTGCCTATCCCTAAGTCTGCATACTACAACTGATGCAACTGAACTTTACTGTTATAAAGACAGAGTTATAAAAAAACCGTGCACTCAAAGTGGGTATATCCGTAAGTGGATGAAAAACTGGATTTCCTGGAGGAGATAGTATAATTAAGAACTATTATCTTGCCCAATAATACTTTGCTTAATATCGCCTCCCTAATAGTGCTCACTACAACATCTGGTGTACAAGGATGTTCATCTCGGAGTTAAGCTGTAATTACATGAACTGACTACTATCGTTCCCTCCTTCCGACCTAGAATAGTGAATATGGATTTCACCTATGATACTGTTGACGGAGCATTGAAAAACTGAACTAAGTGTCAATTAAGGTGAATTTTAACTAACTAAATAACTGGAAAGGTCCTGGAAGTGTATGATGCTAAGAAACTGGAAATTCCTTCCTGTGAGTTTGCCAGATAGATGCATGTGTACAAAGTACTTGAGTGAACAGAACTACTTTTTATATTTAACTGTGAAGTACCCTATAATTTCAAGAATAACTATCCCACCAGGTGCCACTATGAAATCTGGTATGGTACTTTCTGAAAGATGAGCTTACGTCTTGAGCACCGCTACTGTACTTTTTATTAGGAGATAGGAGAAACATTATTTCGTCATAGAGGTTTTTATTGCTTCTAAAGGTGATTTTCCAGAAGTAAGCTGAATTGATTCACCTACCGTAGCTTATCTTAATTCACTGGAATGATTTTGTAGAGGGCTAATACCATTCACGCCAGGATTAAGTTTCTTTCATTTTTCTAAATTCTTATCTTGATCAATTCAGAAAGCTCTATACTGGTCGTATGAGAATTCTTCTTTTCTTTCATTTTTCTAAGGACTTAATTATTAGAATTTTAGCACAAGTAAATATACACTTTATCCTAGGCTTACTACGAAAATCTCATTATGGTATAGTGTAAAAACAAATAAGACACAGAAAATCAGTTACACAACCAACTTATATATATCAAAGTCGTAAGTTGTGGCAAAAGTGAAGGTTGGTCTCGGAGCGGAAGCTGCAGTTGACATGGATGTCAGCCTCACTTTCATCCCAATTCACCACAAGACCTCACTTCTGAAAATCACCGCACATCTACAACCAAATTCAAAAGCGGCTCGGGAGAATTTCGGTGCAGTCACAGACAATCGGAAACTGCTGTGTATTCAAGTCTTTTCCAATCCTCAATTCTCTTCTTCCCCTCTTTCCATCTTACAATCACCATCACCACCTCTCGCCACCATCCCAGGCCTAGGTGGCACCGACTTCCCTCCTTCCCTATCAATTATTACTTATTATCCTATCATATTTTCTTCAGATCAGCTTCAATCATGCCTCGCAGATCTCGTGATTGGGAGTTACCTCACGGTTTGGGTGGGTTCAAAACTGGTGAAGGTGAGGTCGGTGGACCCCAAGCCAGAAAGCGCAAAGCACAATTGGACAACGCCAATGACAACAAGAAACTCAAGAACATCACCAAAACCTCAATTGACCAAGGCAGCAAGCGAAAGTACGATGTTTCCCCATTTCCTACTCACTCCAGCCCAACCCATGAAGAAGCTGTCAATGTCGCCAATTTGCTTGTGGGAGAACATGGAGCACCCTATGAACCCAAGGAACTTCCCCCAGCTTCAGAGGAAGTTGCTGGATGTGGCAATGTATCAGATGTCACGGAAGCGACGATGAGAACATTGCTCAGTGGAGCCGTTACCATGGGAGCAGCCAACAATATGTTGGTTTCATTGATTGCTGCATTTCCAGCCCCCAAGGATTCAAGCTGGACTATTGATTGGAAATTCATCCGACAAAGTGTCGCAGAGGAGCAGCTTGATCAAAAGAAGCTCGCAAAGGTCCTTTCCTCTGGTGGTTTGCAAAATTTGAAGGCTGGACACATCATCCAAGCCCTCCAAATTATCTATGACGCTAACATGTATCGGATGAGCGTTCTCCAAAAGGAATTGGATACTGGTGTTGCAACCACAGTCACAAAAGAGCACCCTGAATTTCCAGCATTGTCAAACCTTTCAGCAGAAAAAAAGGCTTCCATTATTGCTCTCCTGAAGAAAGACGCCCTTTCCTTGGACTGGCTCCACATGCTTGACGACAATCGCGACATATTGGATGTTCTTCAGACAATTCGGGGAGTTAGCGTCAAAACTGCCTCTTGTGTGGTGTTGTTCTCCTTACAGCGCCCAAGTTTTGCGGTTGATACTCACGTTCATCGTATGTGTACCTGGCTTGGCTGGGTCCCTGATGATGTCCCAGGAAACGCTCCAGAGAAGACATTCTATCACTGCGACCTCAAAGTTCCTGATCACCTCAAATACCAATTACACCAGCTCTTCATCCGTCATGGTCAGGATTGCTTCCGATGCACAGGCAAATCTGTACCAGGAACCAAGCAATGGAACGAAACTGAGTGTGTTCTTGAAAAGTTGTTGGACAGAAATCTAGCTCACAAGAAAAAGGGTGTTGCTAAGAATGGAGGTAAGGGCAAACAAGCAGGTTCAGCATCAGATGAGGGCAATGAAGCAGGTGTAAAGGACATTGATGATGAGGTTAAGGAGGACTCCATGGAGCTTGTTGCAACAATCGAAACGGACAACACAGAATCAGCACACCCATCGAGCGAAGAGATCAAGGAGGAGACGTCTGATTCTGAGGAGAAACTTGTTGAAACTGCTGCAGTTGAAGCAAAGAAAGGCAGAAAGAGAACACGAAAGGATGACGATGATGACGATTACCAGGAGACGAAGCCTTCAAAGAGAGCTAGACTTTCGGCAGGAAAGAAGGTTGGATAGGCAAAGAGAGGTACTTTGGGAATCAGGTCCTACTTGAGAACCTGAAGGGGAGATATTTACGATCTAAGGAAGGATTCACGATGTAATTGATGCAAAATTTGGGGAGACAGTTACAAACTATATGGGATTCAATGGGACCTTTGCTGGGATTTTGCGCTGGCTGGCGTTGGTTGGACGGAGGTTATTTTGCTCAGCGGAAGTTATCACGATACCCTTTTACTTTTATGGCGTTTGCTTTATGCAAGCATGGGCGAATTGCCTAGATACAATGGAAATAGCAGAGCTTTTTACACATAGTTGCGTTTACAATCATGGCTGCAGTTTTCAACACTCCAACTGAGATTGATGAGGCCAATTGAGAACGTTTAGCTATTCATTTGAGGAATTAATTATGTTCTTATCCAAATCTTTTCTTTTGAAACTTTGTAGTAGAGGTGATTACTCCGTTATTCATCAATGGCCCCTTTCTCTGTGACATGATTCAGGCTGGAAGTCTGGGGTTGTTCAGGCTGAATCAGTGATCGCCAACAGGGAACCTGCTATCTTCAGACTCCCAGCACCAACACCAACATCAACTGACCAACCGACCACCTTTCGTCGTTGCGCTGCCAATTCCATTGCCTGTATGCCATGATCTGTAAGGGTCTGCCATAAAAAACCAAGACTTGGAAGGGCAAAGGCACAATGGCAGAACCAGAGTCAACAGTGTTGCCAATTCAGGAGGGGGGCTTCATGTTTGCTTGGGAGCTCGGTGAAGTGTAAGTCAATTGCCCCACAAGTACAAAGCACTGAGATTAATACTTCAATTCTATAGCAAGTATCTTCTCTGGAGCGCTGCGATCTTTGCGACAGCTCTGGTGTCCCTCATTATCTATTTAATTGTGCTGGTTATGGAATGGCTCTATAAGGACCCAGTCGTAAAGTATACAATCGTTTCGCCAACCAACCCCGAGGACTCGCAGATTCTGGAGAACCCTTCAATCAAAGCTTCTGGCTCAAGTGCAATCCAATGCTATGCGCCAGCAACGGGTGCGTTCCTGGGATTCGTCAACCCCTCCACCCCCGAAGGCATCGATCGAGCGGTTGAGAAGGCACAAGCTGCGCAGAAGAAATGGGCAAAGACTACATGGGGACAGAGACGCCAGGTTTTACGAAGCATACAGGATTTCATTATGGAGAACCAGGAAGAGATTTGCAGAATTGCTTGTCTGGATTCGGGAAAGACTATGATTGATGCTACGTTGGGAGAAATCCTGGTTACGGTGGAAAAATTACGCTGGACGATTCTGCATGGAGAGAAGGCATTGAAACCTTCTAGAAGACCTACGAATCTCTTGATGGCATACAAGAAAAATACCGTTACGTACGAGCCGCTGGGTGTTGTTGCAGCGTTAGTATCGTGGAACTATCCTCTCCATAATCTGATAGGGCCTATGATTTCTGCCATCTTTTCTGGAAACGGGATCGTCGTTAAAGCTTCTGAAAATACCGCGTGGAGCGCCAATTATTTCACATTGATCGTAAAGGGTGCGCTTCACGTCTGCGGGCATGATCCTCATCTCGTCCAAACCGTCGTTACCTGGCCTCAAACTGCAAATCATCTAACTTCTCATCCCGGAATTTCGCATGTAACCTTCATTGGAAGTCGGCCTGTTGCTAAGTTAGTAGCTGCATCCGCGGCCAAGTCGCTCACTCCAGTTGTTGCTGAATTGGGAGGAAAGGATGCCGCAATAATCCTTGACTCCGCTGTAAAGGACCTCCCACGCATAATCGAGATCCTCCTTCGTGGAAGCTTTCAGGCAGCTGGGCAAAATTGTATTGGCATTGAACGAATTATTGCTTGCCCGAAGGTTTACGACAAACTCGTTCTCGCTTTGGAACCAAGAGTTCGCTCTTTACGAGTTGGATCTATTCTAGATGCCGAAAAGGATAAGCATATTGATATGGGTGCTATGATTTCAGATGCATCATTCGATAGACTGGAGAAGCTTATACAATCCGCTGTCAAGGATGGAGCCAGACTTCTAGTTGGTGGAAAGAGATATCAACACCCTGTCCATCGCTCGGGCCACTACTTCCAGCCTACTCTTCTTGTTGATGTTACGAGAGATATGGCTATCGCCAACGAGGAGTGCTTTGGTCCAATCTGTGTTCTCATGCGTGCAAAGAAGGCAGAGGAAGCTTGCGAGATTGCCAATGCACCCAATTTTGGTCTAGGAGCATCTGTCTTTGGGGAATATACATACGAGATACCTGGTCTACTCAAGAACTTGAAGACAGGAATGGTGGCTGTGAATGATTTTGCTGCTTACTACGCCGTACAACTACCATTTGGTGGTGTTGCTGGCAGTGGGTACGGTCGATTTGCAGGAGAAGAGGGCTTGCGTGGGTTGTGCAATATCAAAGCCATCTGTGAAGACAGATTGGGGTGGGCTGGTATCAAAACAGCCATTCCTGCACAAATCAGATACCCAATTCCTGATACGATCAAGGGATTTGGTTTCGTCAGGGCAATCGTGGAAATTGGTTACGGTATGGGCATCGGAGGACGCATACGGGGTGTGAAGAATATCCTCAAGAATATGTAGGGGTTAGGAGACCAGGCTATGGATACTTGGAAGAGGTGTGAATATGATATATGATAATGAGACTTGTCACGAATACATATCCAAATTCAAAAGTACAAATTCTACTGACTGGGAGCAGAGATCAAGATAAGATGGGATTGGATCCAGCAATCTCGATGTTCATAAGAGACCTGTCCATTACTCTAGACACACCTAAAGAATGGATTGTGCTAGAATTACTCATACAATCAACTTGATTGTCCCAGATCACTTAGATAAATAAACATCTATTGACTTTGGTTGTTCTAAATCGCTCGTGCAACTATTTTAGTTGAGCGAGGCTTTTAGGAAATATTATTTTAAACTAGGCGTGTTTAGAGTAATGTCGGCCTCTCTTACATCTATGTTGGAGTACTCAGGACCCAAGAAACCTTCACAGTTGATGAAAGCTAGGGCTAGGTAAGGACTGTTTCTTCTCCCGCGAATGCACTCATGAGACTCGAGGCCCTTCAGTGGACGGGTCTTTTCCAATTAAGGTTACAATTACCCCTCTCGATGTTTCTTACGGGGGTCCTTGCTGCATCCTCCCCTAGCAACGATATTATATCCCAGAAAGAGTGGAGTTCCAGTCTATCCCAACAGCGTTGTTTCTGGGAGCTTTCAACGCTGTTCTTAACGCTCGCTGGCTGAAGGAGCGTAAAAACCCCAGTGTTCTCGTTTTGGTAGAGACCGTAAAGCTGTGACCAGCAACGACGAAGCCCCTTCCAGTGTCAAGACCGAAATGAGATTTCTTGCAGCGTCACATACTCCTGCGCTGCAAAGATCTCCTTATCATTTCCGTAGTACTCATACTGCATCTCGTTGCCACTATAATACCCATCGCTTTCTGCACACTCCTCATACTCTTTCTCATCATCTGCGTCGTTGTCATCCACGGGGTAGATCTCAGGACCAGTGCTTGAAGGATCCCAACTCCCAACCCCGTTGAAATCCAGGGGACTGGAGGGGAGTGAGTGGTAATCTGTTTCCGTGGAGTGACCACTGGGGTTCGGAATGGTGGTCTTGATGCAGAGACGGTCGAAGATCATGGTGCTGAAGAAGGTGGTGTAGGGGTCGTTGAGACACATGTCTAGACTTGAGGTTGAGGTTTGTGGGTAGATTTCGTAACCGCTCCTTGCTTGGTAGGTGGAACTGGTATTCATGTTTTTCTGTTGCAGTGCGTCGAAGAAGGAGGTGCTGATCATGTTTTGTGGTGTTTGGGGCGAGGGTATTGGTGATGACATATGATGGATCATCTCTACTGCTGGAGTAAGTTGTCGTAACTGCCGCACTTCTTGAGCTTCAATTCATGTCAGATCATCTTATCTCTTTCCTAAGATGTGTCTGTGGACTCACGTTCGTTTGCGTGCATCCTCCTGATGTGTCTGTGGACTCACGTTCGTTTGCGTGCATCCTCCTGATGTGTTCCTTGAGTTTATCCTTCCTTCCTGTTGCGTACTGACATCCTTCTTGCGGACAATTTCGCTTCGAACCATGGATGGAAGAACGGTGTCGGACGAGATTAAACTGGCATTTGAAAGTGGATTTGCAACCGTTGAAGTCACATATGAGCTGAAGTGGTTTGACGAAATGCTGCTGCTGTAGTGGTGCCTTGCGATACTTGGTGTGAGTCAGGGACTCGAATTTTCGTTTTCTGAAAGTATCCATTTGGGTATTTAGGAGAATACACACTCTACCCCTCCGGTAAAATGAGAGAAGAGACTAGGAAACGTGGGCTTGGAGATGAGTACTAACGAAGTTTTTCGAGGGTGTGACAACCATTTTATACCATGCCACCCCTCCCCCATCTCATCCTTCCTCCAAGTCAAGGCCATACACACAATCAAACCAAACGTTCGGCGATAACTCCCCCGGGAAACGGGGAGGAGGGATTGACTACGCGCCCACTACCATGTGTCCCAGTTGCATCAGGATGGCATTCAGGATACAAAAACGTTGTATCCCCGCTCGCTTATCCGCCTTGACAGCGTGGAAACCAGGTATTGTACGTACCACTGACCCATCACACCAACAAAGCCCACTTACTTGAAACGCAAAAAGCTACCCGGATACACCCATGCTATCCATGTGCCTGCCTTCGACCTATCCGTACCTGCACGACATACCCATGGTACGGGGCTTTGGGGGCTGATTGTGGGGGTTGTCAACCTGCGAATCCTTCTTGTTGGTCGGGACACTTGAGAGCTTAGGCTTTTGCGTTGTAGATTGGGTACAGTGATGTGTTTGAGATGTGCTGAGCCTCTTCATGGGCCGACAATTCCTTGTTGAGGCTTGTAGCGAGGGGTCATGATACGAGGGTTATGGGTTGAATGGCTGTGTCTTTGCCAAGGGATGGTACCAACATAAATAGGTATGTGTCTTCCTCCCACCCTGAGGTACATGCGAAGAAGTGTTTTGAAATGCCTATGAGAAAACTGCGCATGCGATACTGTGTTGGGTTTATTTTTAACGTTGGGGTGTGATGGGGTCCTGTTCTGGAGTATGGGGATCTACAGTTGGTTTTTTGTTGGTGTTTGATTTACACGCTCGTGGTTGGTTGAATGAAAATAATCAGCCTTACCATTTTCTGGGGTTTGTGGCATTGTGGATTGAAACGGATTACAAATATCTACAAACCCCAAAGAGGTATGCCCGCATTAATAATGGTCAATCATGCTTGAGGATTTGTCATAGCTTACGATTTTTCGCGGAGTTTACAATGAAAGATTAGGGGTATTGAGGAGAAGTACAAGGCTTTGATGGGGGATTGTTGCCTCCCTACTCGGTACTGAAATGCACGTATGCAGTCATGGTTGACCTGCGGCGAGGTTTGACAACATGCAGGTTTCTGAATTCAGTTCACTTGAGATAGACTAGCATAGAGGCAAAGATTTGAGCATGTCTGCAGTATGCTACCTTAATTTGGATTTTACGTACTGCAAAGGCGGAAAATTGCCCAACCAGCAGCGGTTGTAAAGTTATATCTCCTTTCTTTTCTCCAGAGCTAAGCGAGAGGTAGAATGTAATTGATGTTCTAATTTCCTAATTATACAACGACTAAATGAGGCCTGACAGACAGTGCATACCCCTACTTCTACAAATTCCGCCATATTATGCCTTTCATGCTTTATTTGTCCCATGGTAAAGTTCTGGTGTAAAGCTAGATGCGACACTTCCAAAGGAGCATGCCAATATCTAACAGTCGAGCCAAGAACATACGCTAAAATACCCGCTCTTTTGTGATTCCATTCTATCTAGTAAGAGAAACGGTTATTACTCTAGACATAACTAGGCGAGAATAGTATTATACCAAAAGCCTCGTACAAAAAGTCTAGTTGTGAGTAATTTGGGAAACTTGGAATGCATATATCTTAATTAACTTAAATGATTTATGACAATTGCGTTAACTGTTTTAAGCTAAAACAAGTCTAGCACAATAGTGTTTTATGATACGTCTAGAGTAATATATAGGCCTCTTACCTTCCAGACCTCTTTCCAAGTGGGGTGAACCCTTAGTGGAAAAAGAGATTGTGGAAAGAACTTGGGGTGAACAAACCTATCTTCCGTAGGAACTGTAACCAAAGTGTCCACACTAACCTCCTTTTGCGCAATACCTTCAAAGATGAGCTCTGAGCTGTAGAAGAGATATCTAAGCATCACAGAAACCCTCCACAGACCAGAAAAAAACCCCACTCCTCACAAGGACCAAAGACAAAAGTAAAGTATTTGAGAGGAAAACAGTCTCGGAGATCTATGTTCAAAAAAGAATAAGAGCGAAGAGGCTAGATATCATCATCATCAAACATCTATCCACCAACCAACCAACCAACTGACCTTCCAAATCCCAGATCTCAACGTCCTACGTCCTAAGAACTCCAATGTTATACATGCTACCCAGATACATCATACACTCATCACCCTCCTAAAAAAGAGACATGATATTACAAACCCCCTTGACCCCGACCCCGACCCCGACCCCAATCCCCAATCCCAATTCCCGCCATCCTAAACCCTCTTTCCCACAGCCGTAGAAGCCGCAATAGCAGCCTCCTGCCTCCCAGCCAGCCCACTNGACCCCGACCCCGACCCCGACCCCAATCCCCAATCCCAATTCCCGCCATCCTAAACCCTCTTTCCCACAGCCGTAGAAGCCGCAATAGCAGCCTCCTGCCTCCCAGCCAGCCCACTCTGTCGTCTCTCCTCTAGCGCCCTACTTCTCTCCACCTTCAACCTCAAATGTCTCTCCGCTCTCTCCTTCCTGCCCAAATCCAGCAGCGGCTCTTCAACCCGCCAATTGCGGCCTCGCCTGCCTCCCTCGCCCCACATACTTACACGTTGAACTTTTCGCAGTTTGACCAGTCCAATGGCGCAAACGATGGTGCTGAAGACCATACAGGAACCTGTGATGCCCCAGAATCCAAATTCAGACTCCTCGATGAAGTTTTTGAGATTCATGCCGTAGAAAGCGGCGATGAGGGTGCCGGAGGTCAGTCCTAGGGTGCCGACGGAGAATTTGAGGTCCAGGAGCATGAGGGAATTGCGGTTTGCATCGAGGATTGCTTTTACGCTGAGTCTAATGTTAATAACTTGGTTGATTTAAATGGAAAGGTGAGAAAACTTACATCTCCTCCGTGTTACGGATGTTGGAAACCAAATTCCCGGACTCTTGGACGATTTCATCACAGAGTTTGTGGTAGGACTCGAGCAACATCTCAACTTCAGTGTGGTCATCCTCTCCTCGTGCAATATCATGAGCTTTCTCAGTCAAGTACATGGATGCCAAATCATCATCTGCTTCCAGCAGTTCATCGATAGCATCCCGTACAAGTTTCGCTTTCTGCTCGAAGGTACCCAGCTTCTTGGAATAAATAAGCAAGCCCCTTAACTTATCCCTATCAATATCTTCCTCGAGCTCTCTCAATACTCTTACAACAGGTTCTCTGACACCTTCAAATTCCGTTTCTAAACTCGTAATGACAGAAATGAGAATCGCTTCCAGAGCCCGGAACTCGTATGGCAATCCTCCCGCTAACAGTGAACCCTGTTTCGCCCGTAGTTTATCCTCGAGATCGTATATGAACGCTGATTGATTATATGAATCCGTAGTCCCATACGCATCAAATACCAAAACGCGATTATGTTTTATCAGAACTCGCAGATGGAGAAGATTGATTAGGATTGCAGACGGGCGAACGAGGATATGCGGCAGGAGACTCGAATCAATTTTTCTGAGATCACGAGGAAGCAGGCCATACTAATTAACAAACAAATCAGCATTGTCCTCGGCATCAAATAAGATAGAATGTTCCGTACTTTAGCAATCAATTCGCTCTTCTTGAACTCGCCACTCGCCAATGTCACATTCCCATTCTCATCCAACTCTGTACATCTCAGCTTGGGTTGTGCTGCAGCTTTCGCCGAAACAGCACGTCCTAAACTAAATACTGCCGTCTCCGAGCCTTCACTTCGTCCTTTTGGGAGATCGTCTGGTCGTAGTCCTCGTCCGCCTTTCGAGCGATTCGTGCCCCATATCTTTTGCGCCCACTTTCTGAAGCCTGTTGAAGCATTCCGGCGTCCTTGGATTGCTCCTTTTGTGTATGCCTGTCTAATACATGTCGTAGGTCGGCTTTGCGCCCGGTGTTGTAGGGCGGATGTATTTGGCTTCGGCCGCAGGAAATCAAGATTAGCAGGCCCAGATTTGACAGGGGCGCATCGCGAAGCAGTTGTTGAAAGACATCTTCTAGGTGCTCTCGAAAAACTTGATGTGCAGAGCCGTAAAGTAGCTCGCGGTGCTGTGTGGTAGAGTTGAGGGCTTTGTCCAGTATTGGCGGTAAAAAAGCAAACTGACTCGGATTGCGACTTAAGGAATTTCAGGAGTGCTGTTGATGGCGCCGGGGTATAGAGAGCTGGTCTCATCGCAGCGAAAAGGCTATCAAATTCTCTCACGAGATGATGTTGCTTCCATCGCATTGGAGGGTACCTGTCGAGCTCGTAATGCAATATTTTGAAGAGTGGAGCTTGGGCCAGGGCTCTTCTGCTCACCAGGAGTTCACATGACCAGAAAGCGGATTTTCAAAAAAAGTAAACCTAGAACACTTACAGTATTGAGAACAGGAGGTACTTGAATACGAACGTGCCCTCCAAAGTTATCTTGAATACATGAATCTCTCGATTTCTTTCTATTGAACCTGATTTGATATATTCGTTGACACCAGCACATTCCCATAACCTTGTCCAGGACACAATTACTATTACTTGTACTAACAACCCCAAACTTATTTTCTGCCATGCTACCTTTAATCATTAGGTTTTGAGAAATTTGTCATAAGAGTGAACTTGGTCTAAAGCTATAAATGCTTGAGATTCGCATAATGATCGGGCAAGCTGGCGCATCATTTCACTCCCATTTTTCTCCAAACCCAACAATTCATCTTTGAGATCCGCCCATTGGTTATTATTGATTGATTCGCCTTGAGGATGTTCGAGGATATTGAATAGTAAGTGGTTCATGACCTTTAGCAATTTGTCTGTAGGTATCAAAGTCAGCTTGGGACCTAAACAGTTAACCATCCAAAGGCCCTCAAAGAGCCATGAAATCCTTCTAGGACTTTTGAGAACAGAGATTTCCGCAAAGCTTGATGACTGAGGATAATGTCTAGAATGTGTTTCCAGTAGCCTCAGGAAAAGATGTGACTTACCCTCTGGTGCATTGTGAAGAGCGTGTAGCAGTACATCATAGCTAATGCGTTGGTTCATGCCCGCGCAGACCAACAAAAGAATAACCTGCATGTCACCAGCTGATATGGCATTCTTTAAGCCAATCGACGCGCTCTCGCCATTTGTAGATGTCTGCCATTGTATTACGGCTCCCGACTTCACGATCCAAAACAAAAATCTTCTCTGCTCATTGGTCCAGAATGGCTGTCCAGTGAGTAGGCTTTCCGGAATATCCACACGGTGATCGACGTCTCCCGAGCGATCAAGCAAGTTCAGTACCGCGCTGGGAGCGGGATAGTCTTGTGAAGCGAATCTCAAGAATCTTTCATATTCTCTGTCGAAATGCTCAGCTGCGCTCCTCGAATGATAAATTTCCTCATGTTTGGAGAACGAGAGACCTGTCCAAAAAGAGCAATTTGTATCTCCTTCTAGATGTCGGTCTTCGAACCCTGAATTTTGTCGGTTAATTCGGGTTCAATATGAGCAAGGCATCTGGACTAACAAAGATGGTGGGGCACTGAGCGAGGAGCGATGTATTGAATCCAGTTGTCTTTCGCCTTGAACAACACTCCTAGAGACAACCACCGACATCTCAATACGACACTCTATGAAAAATCGCAACGTTAGTAGATTAATTTAGCTATTAGAATTGGGCGTGAATGAAACGACTGAGACGCAATCGGTCCATTCTGATCTTGTTCAGATAAGGAGATCCAAGTAGCTCACCTGAAATTGGATGCCTTCGATACCGGGGTCAAACCCGCCGTACTGGGATAGCTCGCTGTCAATCGTGGTCTCGTCACGTTCTAACGAATCGAGCCAAGTACACCCAAAAGCCGCTGTGATGGTTTGTATGTATATCATTTCGCTACTTAACTTCCCCCCAATAATGGGACTCGACCTTGGAAGTGCTATGTTCAGGGCATAGAGATACACCCTCTCTAGCAACTCGATAGGAAGTTTCTCGAGTAGTGACATTTTGCGTTGCGGTTTAAGATTCTTGAGCGACCGCTTTTTCGGGGCCTTTTCAAGTCTTTTCTCCATGTTTGCTGGAGAAGACATCCTTGAAGAAGATCGCGATGAAGGCAAGCTCATAGGCCGTCCAGGTCCTCGTTTCTGTTTCAGAGTTAGAAAACAGGTTACGTGAAAACCTTTTGGTGAGCGCGCCAACTATAAAATCATATGAAGTACTTTCTTACCTGAGATTTGCGTCCATTTTCTCTAACAGCCGGAGCTTGAGCTTTCCGTTTCCCGCGCACTTTTATAGGTGTGAGTCCCATGATGGTGGTTGCTTGAATTTGATGATGGATGTTAATATTATGGATGCAGGTGATGAGAAGTGAGTAGGAGCTTGCAGAGGAAAAAGATGGTTATGGTTATGGTTAGCCTCGTAGCCTCGCGTGAAGTCATTGAAGACCTAGACTTTCAAGGCTTATTATTGGTCGGCATTCATCAACGATTCTTATGTCCAATGAAGCCTTGTTAAGACAGATTACAAGTGATTAAAGTGTGTTTTATTGTCTTCTTCTGACCATATTTTTCAGATTGATCAAATTTCCAAGTAATTGACATTTTGCACCGTCCAAAATCAACTCATGTATATTTATAGGTACTAGCTGCTAATGTTAGAGGCAGTAGATCAAGAGATGAATGGACTCCATCACAAATCCAAGCTTAGCCAACTGCAGGTCTATCAAAGCTCCTCTTGGGACCAAAGAGTGTAAGAGATAATAAAATCCAATCACTTGAACCTACTCCGTATATCAAAATCAAGAGATGACCAGCGCTCCGGCTCTCTGTGATGCAAGACCGAGGTCGAGATTTTCAAGGTCTTGGCATGTACAAGGGTTCGTTCGCTTCGAACCCCACTAGTGCCCAACACGGATTAGCGCCCTTCCAGATATCGCACAACGGAGCAGGGCGTGCTTCAATTTTGTCGAAAATCCAAAATCCAGTACGAGACGCCGACAACATACAACTCGCCCAAATTACGACCACCATGTCTGACAGCGAGGAAATCGAAGTTGCTGAGGGTGGTTACCAAGTCCTGCCAAAGGATGTCACCGAGGAGATTGGAAGCATCAAGCTTTTCAACAAGTGGTAAGTTGCGACCTGTGGGAGGGGCTGAGATGGCGATACCATCAAAAATTAACAATCGACGCGCAATTGCTGACTTTCTCCTCCTCCAGGTCATACGAAGATGTCGAAATCCGCGATATCTCCCTGACGTAAGGATTCCCTTATTCGAGCCCGAAACGACTGGGAGCGCATTGGAGAGCGATGGAATTGGGAGGGAACATGGCTAACAAGTCGACAGCGATTACATCCAAATCCGTGCGCCAGTATACATTTCCCACTCCGCCGGACGATACGCACAAAAGAGATTCAGAAAGGCACAATGCCCAATCATCGAGCGTCTCACCAACTCTCTGATGATGAATGGTCGTAACAACGGAAAGAAGTTAATGGCTGTCCGAATTGTTGCACACGCTTTCGAGATCGTGCGTCAAACCTGCGAGACATTTTAGAAGGAAAATATACTAACGAAAATTCCCAGATCCACATCATGACCGACCAAAACCCTATCCAAGTCGCCGTCGATGCCATCGTCAACTGCGGTCCTCGCGAAGATTCCACCCGTATCGGTTCAGCTGGTACCGTCCGTCGTCAAGCCGTTGATGTCTCCCCCCTCCGCCGTGTCAACCAAGCTATTGCTCTCCTTACCATCGGTGCTCGTGAGGCCGCTTTCCGAAACGTCAAGTCAGTGGCTGAGTGCTTGGCTGAAGAGTTGATCAACGCTGCAAAGGGAAGCAGTAACTCATACGCTATCAAGAAAAAGGATGAGTTGGAGCGTGTCGCCAAGTCCAATCGGTAAATGGTTATTATTTTGCATGGGAAATGGGTTTCTGTTTGCGAAATGGGGGGCGATATCGGTTGCATTCTGTCACATAAAATGGCTTATGAATGCTAAATCCTCTTGAAAGCATTTTTATTTGTTTTTTTCGCACATGTGTGTGTGAAATCTACTTGGTGAATCTTCGGCAATTGTACAGAAAGATTGGGTCTCGCAAGATTGCAGATGGGCCAGCTGCAGAATGCCGAAAAAGTGCTATCCAGAAGTCTAGGATAGGCAAATTGTAATTGATTGCAAAAGATCATCAGGATGACAACTTTGGAAAATCCATATCACGTTCGTGCTTGTGTACTTTGAATCTTTCTGTTGCTGTTATTGATTGGTTCCCAAGTTGCTCTACTTTATGTCTCACCAAATCCATATCTCGTCTAAAAGCAAGGTTCAACTGCCTAAAGCGATCGGGAGATATAACCCGGGTCAAATAGGGTTGAACAAGCAAGACGTGATGATGGGCACGACAGCTCGATCGGCAATGATGATCTCAAGAGCCAAGAAAAAGAAAGTGTTGTGAGGGAATACTGCAAGTTGTAGTATTTCCCACGGTTTGAAGCAGAGTGTTGAGGGGCTTTGAAGTGATACTTGCTGTTGTATTACCTGGTCTTAGCTGTCTGTACTCAATTACTGCCCCTCCCATATCTATATATCTTGAAGCCCCCTTCTCCCCTTTTCTCATCATCAGGAACTACAGTATGATTTCACAATTCTCTCTCACTGCTTATGCAGTCACTCTTCTTCCACTTCACCAATTCGTTTCCTCAACCCCTATCCTTGCTGAGCCTCGCGATGCGTTGAAGTCTTTCACTCTTGAGCAGAAACCTAATCCTCATTGGAAAGGATATGATGGACCGGCTGCTTACTTGAGAGCGTTTTATAAGTATAATGTCGAACCTCCCCAGGCTGTTGCTAAGTTCGCAGAGTCGAAGGGTAACGGCTCGGGGAGTGTTACTGCCACTCCGTTTCCATCGAGCTTTGATAGGGTGTATCTTAGTCCTGTTGCTTTGGGGACGCCGCCATAGGATTTAGATTTGGATTTCGATACTGGAAGTTCGGATTTGTGAGTATTGCCTGTTCTCATTTCTGCGTCTTTCACTTTTCTTTGTTACACTCAGAGAGGCATTGAGTGATCAAAGACGACTTATGATCTAAGAGCTATCAAATGGAAAATCGAGTAATAGATATATCTAACTTCCACAAGTGGGTCTTTTCAACCATCCTCCCCACAGCCCAGATCTCGGGACAAAAGCTCTATAACCCCTCCTCATCCACTACATCCACGCTGCTAAATGGTGAAATATGGTCTATCTCATACGGCGACGGCTCCTTCTGCAGCGGAACCGTAGTCAGCGAGACCGTTGTCATTGGTGGCATCACAGTGTCCAAGCAAGGTCTCGAAATCGCTAGCCAGGCCTCCTCATCCTTCACCTCTGACCCTGCCTCCTCGGGCTTGCTCGGTCTGGCATTCAGCAGTCTCAACGCCGTTGTACCAACGCAGCAAAAGGTCTGGTTCGAAAATATCCAGGACCGCCTTACGGCTCCTGTTTTCTCGGTGGACTTAAAGAAGGGCGCTGCTGGGACGTATACCTTTGGGAAGGTAGAGAGAGAGAAGTTCAAAGGGAGCATCGCTTACACGCCCATCAATAAACGTCGCGGATTCTGGGAGTTCAGCGCGGATGGCTTCCAAATCGGTTCTTCCTCCCCAAATTACACCTCCTATCCCATGGACTCCATAGCCGATATAGGAACCACGCTTCTCCTGCTCCCCTCCGCGGTCGTCAAAGCCTACTACGCGGACGTGAAAGGCGCCACGTACGATGCCTTCTACGGAGCTATGCTATACCCTTGCCCGTCCATCCTGCCTGATTTCGTCTTTGGGCTGTCGGGTGGCTATAGAGGTGTGATTCCGGGTGGTTACGTGCGCTATGGGCAGGTGGATCGCACTGGGACTACGTGTTATGGGGGTATCCAGGATAAGGGCGGGTTGCCTTTTTTGATTTGGGGGGATATTCTTTTGAAGGCTCAGTATGTTGTTTTTGATGCGGGGCAGACGAGGATTGGGTTTGCTAATAAGAGGGTTTGAGGGATCTTGATTGGGAATTGGGGGGTGTGAGGTGAGGGTGGCTATGGGGTTTCCTTCTTGTGATTTGGGTTTCGTATCTATTCTTTTCCTTTTTTTTTGTTCGAGGGTGTGTCAGTTTTGGTGGTGGTTTTGTATGCCTCTTTTCTCTTATCATGAATATGGTAGAACCTGAGTGGCGATTTATTTGGAATACATAGAATCTCTACGAGTACGGGTCCCGAAGAAATCTCCTATAGTTTGTTCCTCCTAAATTACACTTGTTTTCGCATCTTTCAAACACTATATCCTAACGATGTAGCAAAACAATATATAAGTACTAGTAAAAGTATCAATAAGTTAATCCAGAGTCTACTAATACTGTTTATGTATTTTTCCGACCTTTGTAGGTAGAGTAAGAAATTTGTCGTTCGAAACAGCGTCTTCTCGGTACATAACCGGAAGTTTTTCAGGACCTGAAGAGATAGATAGGTCATCGGTAAATCACAGCCTTTTCGGAGATACCATCCAATGTTCGTTCTTAGCGCAGTATGGCAAATCTATCGATTCCAAGTCGCTCACGTCAAACATGCAGTTTGAAAACGCTACTCCGAGTACATGAGTAACACTGTGTAAAATGCGTATCAGATAAGCGGATACCATGTGCTGTACATGAAAAGCACGGATCTAGGTATGACGGTACCTGTGTGATGTTGCCAGAATTTGATAGAATTGGGCAGAGATTGTGGAACATGGTAACCTTACTTGGTGATAGGGAAGTCATTTGGGAAACTAAAAAGCACTTATCAGCTACACTTACGAACTAATAGTTTATCAAGAGCATATGACCTCCACTCCTGACAATGTGCTTTTGTTGCAAGTCCCGAATGGGAGACTCAGTACAAGAAAAAGACTTCGGAGAAGTTGCTTTTGGGTTAGATGTTGGGAATAGATGGTACAGAAGGCAGGATTCCGTATTCAGCACATCGCACCAACTGTAGAGTTCCAATCTTGACGCCCATCACTCCATCACTCCTCTTCTCTCAGTCTAACATCAACGCCATCGTTCCATTGCTAAGTAGCCTCAGTTATGTTGCCACTCCATTCCTTTCATGGTCACAGAATCCTAGAGTGAGTTTTACTCTCTCCCCACAAACATCATTCGCAATCATGAATCACGACTTTGTGCCCAAGATTTCTCCCAAAAGTCCTTCAACTTCTCATCGAAAATACTCCCATCCCAAAACATACCATGCAACGCACTCCTGAGTTCTTCATATGAGCTCAGATGTTCGTGGCACATCACACTCCTCAAATCCTCTATCAACAAACTCCTCTCTCCCACATTTCTCGCCTCAAAAATTGCCAGAACAAGCACCCAAAGCTTCAGCACTCCAACCCCTCTCCAAACTTGAGAATTGCTCACATCATATCGTCTGAAAATGCGCTGGACTTTGCTGACATACACTTCAGTTCTCACAGGCCACGTGCCCATTCTTCTCCGAATCTCAGCAAGATATAGAAGGGCTCCCAGTCGCCAGATTTCGGCTAATGTTTGAAGATCAAGTTCTTTGGTGCTATTTCCAGTCTCTTCTACACCTTCCAGGAATGAATTGGGGGAATACATGGGTCCTTTGAGACAGAGAAGTATCTGTATGATTCGGTTCATCCAAAATCCAGAGACCACTTTGTCGCTGATTAAACGACCCTCCGGCCAATTGTTCTCATAACGGAGAATCTCATGATATGAGTGGAAAGTTAGTAAGTTTTGCGCCACTGCGGTATATGACGAGGATGAAAAGGTGTTGATAAGATGTTGGACCGGTGCTAAGGGTGGGACATCTGGAGTCGGTAGGGTTGGTAATGAGATTATAGGGTATGGGAAATGCGGTTCTTGATCATGGGCATAGGAACCAGATATATCATGCCTGTTCTGCTATTAGTGATAGGACTTTGTTGTGAGAACAAGAAAGGGAATGTACCATGATATCAAAAGTCTCAATATAGGGGTCGTTTGCAACGTCTCGATTCCCCCACGCAGCTCCAAAATTCGTTTAAGTCCACTCATATGTATATTCCAAGATTTGAAGTCCTGCAAAATATGCTACCTTCATTTGAGTACATCTCTTCATAATTCAATGAGGAGGGAAAAAAGACTCACATTGTAAACAGCCATAATCAAAACCGTCGAAATAATCCCATCACTAACCGCATCTTCCGAATTCGGAAGCCTCGAATTGGCAAGTTTGATTGCTTTGGCATGGTATTTCGCGGCTGTATACGAGATTTGTGCTTTGCCATCTGACTCATAGGCCTTTTGCGAGTTGCGTAAAAGTTCGGTGTTGGCGAGGAGTTGAAAGAATGCTGAGCGGTCGTGGATGGCGATGTGGAAGAATGCATCTCGGTAGGGCTTCATGGTATTCATTCTAGTGTCAAATACTATTTGATAGATTAGCTAGGAAGACGGAGTTGTCAGCAAATTTGGATCTCCGTGAGCGGGTCAGTTACCATTATCTATCAAGCCTCGACTGGTGTGGTCCATCTCAATTGGGTATGGCAAAATGGGGTCGAATATTCCTGCTCCAAGTCTCTCCAGAGAAGGGCTGGGTGCAAGAATTCTTTCCACGATTTGATTCACCTCTTGGTTATCGATCTTGGGTTCTGTTATAGTTCAGAATCACAACTTGAAAGAATTGAATGCTATCTGACTTTACTCACCAGAAGCAAGTGGAAGCCAGTCACCACCATTAATTTCCGGTACAACCAAAGGAATTTGAATATGAGGACTTCTGAAATTCTTGTTGCCTTTTCTTCGGGCAAGAGCAATGTCTCGCATGACATGTTGCTTGACCAGTTTCCGGGTTTTCTTGTCGGGTTTACTTTGATCGGTCGATACGATGAATGGAAACGATTTGGAACTAGAAGAGCTATCGTATTGACAATATTAGCATACTTGACGAATACCACTAAGAGAGTAAGACAATTCGTTACTTATTCTCCTTATCAAGCCCCGGATTATCCATGTCTCTTTCTATGGTCCAAGAAACTGACCCTCGCCAGTGATTTCCTTTCAACAAATGAAATATACAACACTTATACAAGAGCACCAATCTAGAGCGGAAGTCTTAATGAGAAGTGAAGAAATTAAGGGTATCTCAATTTAGAATGCGGAGAGTGGCTGGGTATATAATATATACCTGTGGGGGCTAAAAAGCCACTTGCTTATTCATCATCATCTGTACCTTGCAGGCGAACGTTACATTTACCGTTAACTCATGCGATGGGTGGGTGGAAAACAGCATTTCAACCATAGATCAATTTACAAATAGCCGGGTTATTTCAAGCCGCTGACGACAGAGCGGGTATTCGAAGTAAGTAGACCAGAAGCTGAGAAACCAGGCCCTGAACATTTGGCATCTTTGCCTTCCGAAATAGTCAATAAATCTCTTATCAGGTGTTGACTGCTTAGAAAGTGGGATGCGTTTTTCCATCCGTTGTCACCTTGACAAAGCAGCAAAGCAAGGCTTTGCCCACTGAGGGAATTCAGCTAAGCAACTGAGTACCAAAAGCCTCAATTATTGCCTTCTCCGGAAGTCTGTGGTGGAAGTCTTACTGGCATTTCTAGTTTAGAGATTGATAATCGGATCGGTACCGTGGTGGGTGCGTTCATACTGCAATAATCGACTGAAATAGTATCAAATTCTTTAATTCGGTGGCTTAAATATATTGAAATCTATATATATTTCTGCACCTGTAACTATTTTATCCCAACAAGCCAATCCCTCTTTTCTTTCGTCTGTTCAACCCCGTCAAGCTCGCTGCTGAAAGATTTCTGGTAATGCTCTCTAACTAAGGAGTGGTCTTAATTCTTCTTACTCTTTGGATATCGAAGTTGCAGCCACTCTCGGATGACCTCGAAGAGCTTTTCTAACCCTTTCGGCGGAACAGCGTTGCTTATAGCCTTCTTGTTTGCAATCTCCTGTCCCACTGGCCAGTGATGGCCGGTCATTGTGATCAGATCCCCTCTCTCTCTATTATTCATGACATATTGACCAGTATAATCAACTCCCCAGTTCGTCTCCTTAGTCGTCACATCGCCAATGGGCGCATATATGGGTTCCATCCCAACGTCTCTTTATTTTCCGAAGTTGGTCTTTTTTGTGCTTCTTTCATCTTGCGGGATCCGTTTCAAGATTTCGTATGGCGTCTCGAGGGGTGATAGACCGGGGACTTTCTTGCCGTATCTGCAATGAGTTCGCTTTGGGAATTGCGGAATTCTCTCGCCTGGCCTAGTGAAAGCGTTAGCATATCTTGTTCTGGGACTCCTGTAAATGTTGATAACCGTACGCTACTCCAAGTCCAACCACTCGCCTCCGTTTGACTGCTACTCCGTAGTCTTGGAAAACCACTTGACGCCATGGAAAAGTGACACCCGTTTCGACGAGTTTGTTAAATAGTTCGTTCTTCCTTCGGAGATTTTTACCTACGCGAATCATTCCTTGTGTTTCTTCAAAGGTAAACACCAATGGCCGAATTAAGCTTGTTGAGAATCCTGGGCGTGTCAACCAAAATCGTATGCCAGTTCGCCTTGTCGTTTTTTCCAGTGTGGGCAACGGAAACTGGTTGACAAGGAGGAGACATATGTATAACCGGAACCCACGGGAGTTTCTTCTTGTTAAGAAATTTACTCGAGTTCATCTCATACATTTCTCCTTCGTTGTTTGCTCTCCAGATATTCGCAATCTTTTTGTCTTGTTCTAGAGCCCATTTCACCTTGAAGTCCGCATTCTTGGCCGCCAAACTTACACCACCCGCTCCAGAAACTAAGCCCTGTTTGGCTCGGATTTTATCGAGTTACAGTTTTCGGATGCGTACCCTGGATACTACTATATTCGCGGAAACTCTATTATCCCGTCGGAATATAACTCGGATTATATATTTAGTATAAAATCGTTTGGCTGGAATTTATCTGTTGTAGCCTAGTACTGAGTTTGGATGTGTGTTGAGGAGTCTTACGGCCTGTTCGGCTCGAAAAAATCCTGATTCCGAATCAGGGTTCCACTATACAAATTAGAGTTTAGCACTCGATACAAGACCTGATTCGTATCGAATGTTAAAACCGTTTGGCTCGTATATCGATTTTAAAGCAAATACTACTCTAAATACTATAATCTATCTTCTTTTAAAATATCCTATATAAAAAGTAAAAACGGCTTTTAAGCTATATTTAGAATTCTATATTTACAACTCGCTTATTCTACCTACTATAACTACTACTACTACTGCTACCTTACCTACTTCTTTATGTATATAAGTATATATTTATATATTAATTATAAAATCCCTCCTTTAGAAACGTTATACACGTAATAAGCGTACAAAAACTATAGCTCTAATAGCTATATATAGTATATATTCCTCGGCTCTATACTATAAGTGTGACCGTGTGGAGTGAACCACTGCTTGCTGTGATGAATACTGAGTCAAACCGGAAACTGCTATATTGAACGAACAACTAAGTGAGAGAAGAAGAGAGTTCCAGAGGAACGAGAGCCTAAATACAGCAGTCCAGTAGCACGCACGGGCCATGCTACATGTGATCCGCCCCCAGTTCCTCCAACTCCGTAACAATAAGAACTACTTCCTTAAAATACTATAATATACGTCTAAATTAAGTAGTAATAATTAGATAGACGAGCTATCAAATAGCTATCCGATTCGATTACGTAATAATCTCTATATTACGAAAAAGGCTTTTAATATACTAGAGGAGTTATTAATTTAGGAGACTAGATCAGCTCCTACTCGGTATATAACGACTCGAGAGTAATTAGGTGTCACTCATCACGTGCATACGTGATGAGTGAAGACCAGGCGGCGCCCTGACAGGTTAAGCACTTCCATAGACTTATAGCAAATAGGGATCGGTTAGGGTAGCTAACCGATCCAAGGATTTCTTTAGGAAGAAAGCATCACGTGATCCGATCGCCTGAGTCGCTTGAGTCGCCTGTCGACTAAGGCGACTGAGGCGAGCGATCAGAGCGATCCAACAGTTGGAACAAAGAACTGAGGTTCTATATAAGACTGGCACGTCTGCCATTAGATAGGAGCTTCGTGCTCAACTTAGTTATCAATCTTATCATATTAGTTTTGACATCTTTGATACAAGTAACGAGTTCACTTCCAAGTGAACAACCCGATAGTCTTCTTCTTATCATAGCATACCAACCAGCGAACACCCAGCCAAGTTTAGTTAGCCAGTTTGAGTATTCGTTACATTAGCGAGTTAAGTTAATTAGATACTACTACTTAGCTACTCGAATTTAATACACTAATAACTCCTCTCTTAAGAAAACTAAGGTAATATAGATATTTTTGTATTTTAAATAAATATTTAGTAGATATTATATTATATCGTAAATTAACTCTATACTTCTTAAGTAAAATAAGGTAAGATACCTATTAGCGCTCTAGTAAGTCTATTTAACTTATCTAAAACGTTATTCTCCCAAACTCCTAGTATAAATAAAATAATTCTCTTATTATACCTATACTAATTAAAATTACACGGTAATAATTATTTAATTTATTCTATATTATTTATATAACTATTTTCATTATACGAGGTTTTTGTGACGGTTCTAACCGTCACCACCATTCGGATCACGTGGTCTCGCTTAGCGACCCACACCAAGTATTTAGATCGAATCTATTTAACTTATCTAAAACGTTATTCTCCCAAACTCCTAGTATAAATAAAATAATTCTCTTATTATACCTATACTAATTAAAATTACACGGTAATAATTATTTAATTTATTCTATATTATTTATATAACTATTTTCATTATACGAGGTTTTTGTGACGGTTCTAACCGTCACCACCATTCGGATCACGTGGTCTCGCTTAGCGACCCACACCAAGTATTTAGATCGAAGCTCTCTCGAGCTCTCCTCTTCTCCTCAGCTTAGAATCTTTGTTTAATTGACAGTTCTACGATTCCACAACCTACACCGTGGGCCTTGCGTACGTGTCGTCACAGTTTTTAGGATAATTTTATTCTTAGAGAGGTATATAAGGTTACCCAGTAACAACTATATCTCTTACGTGTATATAATCGTAAGTGTAGCCTAATACAAACTCGTCTTTCCATACTTCACTTCACTTACATATAACCCGTTATTCACTAGAAAGGGGAGGACTCTTGAACTTGTAAAGGATGTGTTTGCGTTTCGAGGGTAACTAAGCAAGCTTACATATATCGTTTGATCCATTCTATCACCTGTCCACAACACAACAACAACTTCACTGATTGTTGTTGTACGCTTGCAAGAGGCGTTTCTTCTTAAAAGGCTGGTCCTTTCGTCAGAATCAAAGTTACAAATACTCTCTTTCAAAGTTGATTTGATGATTCGACAAGATGACTAGTACTGGTTCAGGAAATCAAACGGGCGGGTATAGGTGAGTATTAAATACCCTAAAATGAAGCTAGTGCTAGTGGGTAGTGAGTGAATATCAAATATCCAACAACATAACCCTACTCCATACGACCCACCCACCTACCTAGAAGAAACCCCATCTACCCCCCCTCTTACGAACCCCCAGTGAATCCATCCTCGTTCAAGGGTAGCAAGTAATAGACCCCGTGAGAGCAGCGCAGCGCTATGGAACTAGAGCACGTACCATAACACGTACAGTAGACATCATAAATACAACCCACCCCCACACACGGGACATCTCCCATCCATCCAACCACCTCAGAAATATATCCTGCATTGTTGCGACACGGTGGCGGGATACCACACACCATCCACCACCCAACGACACCGCAAATACCACACCATGGCTTCGCGACGAAGTAAGAGACTTTCGGGAGGTACCCCGAAGCTTCTTGAGAGACTTCGCGAGGTAGCAGCAGAGAATAAGAAGGAAGAAGAGGGGTCTGAAGCACTGGATGATGAAGGAGAAGAAGAGGCAGCAGAGAGTAAGAATAAAGCAGAAGAGGAGGGGTCTAAAGCAGTAAACGAAGAAGAAAAAGAGACACCACAAGATATCGAGATCCCATCCGAGTCAGGAGAGGAACCAGATACCACCCAACAAAACGGCATGACTTCCGAGAAACGACCATGTTCCCCTCCTACTCCGCCAAAACCAAAGAGGAAGAAGGACCCTAAGCAGGCGCGGAGGCCTCTTTGGCGGCTGAACAAATGCGAGGCCGAAGAAGAAGACGAGGCTGAAGGGGAATCTGAGTATGAGGAATTGATAAAAGGAGATGATGGATCCGGCGCCCAGGAAGAACAGATATCAGGGAACGAGACGGAAGAAGAAGATGTCCCAGGAAAACCCAGAGGAAAAGGACAACAAGAAGAAGGAAGCATCCCCGAGATCCTAGCACCCCTTTTCGATCGAAGCACTATCGAAGGATTCCGCAGTGAGAATCCCATCGTCTATGCCATAGGAAGACTCCCCCCGGTCCATCTAGGCGACATCTACAACTCTCGCTACCGCGTAATACAGAAGATCGGATCGGGATCCTACTCCACCGTCTGGTTAGCACTAGATCTCCATGCAGAATTACGCCACGTCGCACTCAAATTCCTCACTGCAGGGAAAGTAGCCGAAGTTAACATGCACAAGTTTTTCGCCATGACCGATATAGACGACAATAAATACGATCGAGAAGCAGGTCGAGAGTTCGTCATGGAAATGCTCGATAGCTTTGAGATTACGCGAAATTGGAAGGTATACTGGGTTATCGTCAGTGAAGTCTTAATCCCCTTGAAAACCCTGTATTCTACTGGACATTACCGTCGACGGATCGATATCAAACGTGACTTTTTCCAGATTGCTCAAGGACTGGCGTTCCTCCACCATAGAGGGGCAACGCATGGTGATCTTTGGTATGCGAATCTCGCTCTGCGATTACCGAATTTTCGGCGCGGGTTTGAATCCAATCCTCCTTTCCCAAAAGTAATTCCCATCATTCCAAAGACACCAACGGAGAAGGAATTCAGAAAATACCCAAAGTACCTGGTGTCAAGTGATTTCTTTCGAGGCTCTTACATCGAAGACCTTCTCAAGGAAGCCAAACAATGCGGGGTTTTTGAAGAAACCCGTGTTCAGATCATAGACATGAGCAATGCCTACACCAGATACCGTGATCACGTCTATGCGATGCAACCCACGGTGCGCGCTCCGGAGTTTACGGCGCGTGGACTCAATGGCAATCCGGGTATCGGACTCGGCGGCTTCCCTTCTGATATTTGGGCGTTGGCATGTACGGTAGGCAGACGCAACCTTCCACATCTTCCCACACAATGCATATATGTACTGACCAGATCCAGATGTTCAAATTCGTATTCAAAGAGGACTGTAACCTCTTCGACCACACCCAAAGCCCGAATTTCTTCTTCTGGGAAATCGAGCGAAAAATTGGTCCGATTCCTCAGCGATGGCATTTGGGAAGGAGACCGGTAGGTGGACCTCCTGGGTCGATGCTAGAAGGCATGACTCCTGCGCAGTTCTGGATGGATCTGCGTGATACGTATCAGTTACAGCACCCGTATGGCCTGTTTCAGTGGATTGATGGGTTTTTGGCTTTGTTGAGAAGAATGTTGGTGGTTGATCCGAGGAGTAGGATTACTGTTGATGAGGTTGTGGCGGATGAGTGGTTTGATGATGTGAGAGATGAAGAGGAAAGTTCGGATGGTGAGTAGATAGCGGTGGCCATTGACTACTACGATCGGAATGTATAGTACCACAATCCGAAAGTATAGAGTAAAAATTGAGACAATTCTTTTCCCGTAATACACTTGCTCTGCAACATCCTTCTACCTCCCTTGGAGTTGGCGCCCCAATGAGGCTGTCCCAGCATGTGTCAAAATCTCGTGCCATTCACCTTAAATGACGACTGCAAGAGGGTTGATCGTGTCAGACCATACACCATCGCATCTGCCTTCAAAAGAAGTGGTCGCGCGATAGTTGAGAATTGGTCAAAGCAGGTAAGCAAACGGAAAGACGAGAGCAGTTCAGCAGCCCAAGGACAGTCACGCCATCCCGAGGGCACTCTCCTCCAGCCTCAACTCAAGCAGTTCACTAACAGACGACGACAGCAAGTCCTGCCTCACATTCTCCCTCACCACCCACCCAATCCACCCACCCAAGCACCACCTCAAAAGACATTCCTTCTTCACACCCCACCAGCAGGCAGAAAATGCAATGAAAAAAAAAAGATAAGACAGCCCGTCAGACGTCCATCGACACCCACCCCAATCCCACGTCCGAAGAACACCAGGAAAAGGGCTAAGATCATCGCCACTCCCTACACAGCATCACATCATGTCTTGCGACAATCGCAACACCGCCATCCTCACGGACAGTGCGGGAGTAAAAAGGCCTCACTCTTGGGCATCGAGGATCGGCTCATCGTCCGGGTTGGAGTCTGAGGCTCGTGAGAGAAACTCAGAAGAGGACGTTTACTATAGAAATGATTCTATGACTGTAGAAGGATGGGTTAGCGGTTGTGGGAGCAAATGTTGAGGGGGATGGTTGGCTTACAGTAAGATCGTCTGGAGAGGGAAGAAGGTGTGGAGGGTGCGAGTTTATATACTCCTCATACCTGGTCTGTGCACGCTAATTTTTGGCGCAGATTTTTCGGTTTGGTCATTTTCACGTGACCTGGGAAAACTTCTTCGTTGGAGGAAATTGGAAGTGGGTCTCTTTGCGCGTAGAATGAATCAAGTGGTGCGTAGGAGACTGCAGGTGATCTCTTGGTAAGGGTGTGTTTTGAGTTGCATCTCCTGTTATCACGGGATTCCTCCTCCTGTGAACAGAGAAGTGACCGCAATTCACTAACTCAAAGGCAAAATCATCCCCAAATTGGCCACCTTGACTGACTGATTCATGTTCTTGGGTGAATTGCTGTGTTTGTCATGAACTGCTAAATCAGTCATTGGGTTTATTCTTGGTTCCTGGAACTATTACACATTGTTCTAGGAAGTCAAAACAACAAGGCTATCAAAATCTTGAGTCTTTCTAACTAATAGGGTCCCAATACACTGACGCCCCGGCGTCAGTTTAGAGCTGACTAAGCGCGGGTTTTCACGCCCCCCCACCATCCACGAACACTCTACTTATACCTATAATTAATACATGCTTAACAAAATAATATATAATAAATCCTACAATATATATCGCTCCGAGTCTCGCGCATACTCCTCCTCAAGTCTAGCCCATATATCCCTACTCCTATTCTCAGTATTCCTATTCCTATTCCTAATAAACTCTGATTCAAGCATATTATACTCATCTTGCTCCTTCTTTTCCTCGTTATCTAGCCATGCTATAATCT